TTGAACTACGTAACAAGAGTTTTATTTCGTTAAAACTTAGGACGGCTTAATATTAACGGATCATAAAATAAATGGAAACTTTTGCAAACCAGCATAAATCGCATTTCTAATCCAATTTTGATAATTAATAGTTATTTATAGGTAATTTATATCTCGATAGGAATATCGCTAAGTAACGCCGTTTCAAACTATCTGAAGATATCTTAACATAAGCATGTCTGTCATCAGACTTTATAGCCACCTTGAGACTTGATCAAGAGATATATTAGTTTTAGCGACGCTCTCCAAGTCGTATAAAAATCATAAAACGTTTAACTTTCGTAGTTTCGCGACAAACATTCGTTTTACTCAATACAAACTTTGCTAGACTTTGTATTTACTTTTACCTACCATAACTACTTATTGTTAAAACAGTTGAGTATTAAAAATTTAATCTAAACTTTTTATGTTTATGATATAACTTTTCTTTTAATAAGTCTGATAAAATGTGCTACTGTTTCTATCTTAAATGTTTATTTCGTAACTAGCTGTTCACGTGCGGCTTCATCCGCATGAAATTAGGAAAATTTTATTTTATTGTTTACAATTGTCAAATTATCAATAGCAAATCTCAATATGACATGACATGACAAACCTTGACAATCTTGCTTCCATGATGTTGGCAGCAACTTATGGTCTCTTTCTCACTTTAGGGTTTTTATCCAAAACATATACCCCCTAAGTTTAATGGCGTGAAAATGTATAGCCTAAAGCATGACGTAAGTGTAGGGCTTTTTATTAAAAAAAGAATTACTCAAAAATATGCTGTAATTGCTGACATCTTAGGCAACAAATAAGTGTGTGTTTACGCCTTATTATAATATATTTCGTAATAGACAAATGAAATAATTTAATTCACATACTAAACTAAACATTTTCGCAACAACAACGCCACGCGGACAATTTCCACTTTCCTTATCTCATGCTATCCTGGTACCCTCGAGTCGACGCGAGTTATTTACGCGCCCGGCGTCGCCCCTAATCCTCTATTTATTCCTCCAGATGTATCTGAAAATTAGGGATCACATCCAAGGTCCCCGCTGGGAGGGTTAATTTGCGGGATTGTCTCAGCACGCATTAAAGTCGACTGGCGTGATAAAATAACTACAAAATGTTAAGATTATGTTCAATTCGCTCAGGTATTTTCGGCTGTTCTTGCTTCAGTTGTAATTGTCAAATAAAACGTTTCATTACAGTCTATGAACCTGTGTGGGATGTTTCTTTAACTATATTGTTCCCTTAAAAGGTATTTTCAATTATCTTGATATATACGAGTATAGTACATTTAGATTTAGCTATAGCGTTATAACAGGTTTACTTGGTGTATTTCTTTGCGGCCTTTAAATAACAATTTTTTAGGTCCAATCTCGACATCATTTTCACATTTTAATTTCAGACATGGTAAGGTTAAAAAATACTTATCGTATTACCCCAATAATATAGTTAGTTAAACACATGTATTAACCCTTTGCCCACCGCTGCCATTATTAGCAATTTATTATTTATCTCATTCAAAATCTCATTTCGTAACCCTATGCATTGTAATGTTATAAGAAGTTGATGTATATTTAAGCTGAAATGTAAATATATTCTTCTGAAATGTAAATCAACTTCTTAAAATTTCAAATTTCAAAAAATGTCTAATGAAATATTGTCTATGTTTTTTTTTATGTTAAGGCCTTGATAATTTAACATATCATTTAGGTAAACTATTTTTGTAGCGGCATTTGGAATGGCCTCCGCTAAACAAACTTCATTACAACACCGGATTTTCCTTTTCCCATTTCGCTCAAAAGAGTTTTGCCGTAACGAGAAGGAGCGCAATTAACGTTTTTTAACCGAAAAAAGAAAAAAAGTGTTCTCGCAGCACTGGTTGAAAATCCAAGGGGAAGTAGCGTTAAAGTTTGCGCGTTCTTTTGCCGTTTTACATAAATTGTTTACCGACATTTAAAACAAGGAAATGCAATTTCACTGAATTGCCGGGAGTGCTAATTTCAAAGAGTTTCGTGTGTGCGCTATAATGAACGAGACATCTTGTCTGCTTTTAGCTTCACTTTGCGTACAATTTAACTAATGTTTCTTTATTATTTATATGGTTATAATCAACAAACATCGTCGATTATTTTTGGTATTAAGCTATCTTGTAATTCCAATAACACGCTTTTATTAAAGAAGCAATCACTAACATCGAAGAAAAGTCAACAACAGTAACTTTATCTGGTACTTAAAAGCGTGTGAGAAGCAAAACAATAGGCTCTCAGCGACGGGCTTCTGAGGCCGTAACCTTTGTCACGCCGTAACCTTTGTCATACCGTGGCCGATGACCCGACGGCAACAAGGCACCACTTAACTGATACAAGAGATCCTTTTACTTCTCAAATCGCAAAGGAAAAGCTTTATTCTTATCATCGATTCAGTTATATTTAGTATATTATGAGTTAGAACTTCCCGACTCTTTTATTTTTTGTTTACTTTATCGAATAAAATGAACAGTCTTAGGTTATTTTGTATAATGTGTTAATAACTGGCATACCTACATCATAAACTACAAACATCAAGTTGTCGAGTTCGGTTTTAATTAAATTGGTCAAATTTTGTTTGTTAATTATTCGCAGCGTAGAAGCCTATGAAAGCTTTCGACAAAGTGTTCTCGATGTCTGAGAACGATTCCGAAATTGTTCGTTCAGCAGAAATCCGAGCTAAAAATCTGACTCCTCTCAACCGACAGCCGAAATTGAATCCCGAGTTGTTCGGCGAATATCAAATTCTAAAGGCATGTGGCTTTAATCAGGCATCGCGAGGCGAAGTAGCTAAATAAATTGGAATGTAGGGGTGGCAAATAGAATGTTGTATTTCCTCTTCTTATCTGCCCTAACGTCGTCTTCTGGGCCAATGAACGTGAATGGATCTTGATACGATGTAACGCCCTATGTTTTGTACTTTTTCCTTGATGCTGCATTCATTGCGTATGAATACAAACTGGTAAAAAGGAAAAGCATTTGTGTACGATCATTACGTTGCTATTTCCTTAACTTTTAAGCAAATGTTAAAAGTAACAAATACTGCAACACTATTCTCCATTTAACAGCAAAGGTATAATTGAAACATCTTTCATTAAATAGACATTACATGAGCGCAATAGTGTCGCATTTAAAAGGGAAGAGGATGAAAACAAAATGGTCTCACGCCCACACTAAGCTCGAACTCGGGGAAATGGCGAGAAGCATTTAGTTTTTAGCAAAACTAGCGCCGTCATTACCGGCATTTTGTTTCGCATTTGTAAATAGCGGGTCGGGGCAGCGGCTAGTGACGTCGCAAATTACTTTTAGCGTGGAATTCCGCCGGCTCACTGTCCTAATGGGCGGCGACGGGACCGCAAACTGGAGCCAACTGAAAGTTGCCAACTCCACAGTGTTGCCATTCACCGGCCGCTGCGTTGGGACGAACTAAAAACAAAAGGCTGCGACGCCGTCATCTCGTTCCACTGATACTTCAGCTCGCTTAATGACTGTTTGATGTTCACTTCAAGATGTTTCAAATGACCGTCATTATTACGGTATTATTCTACCATGTGAATCCTTATAAGCTTAGACAACAATCTGGATACTTAAGATCTAACCTCCGTAACCTCTCAACTTACAGTCAAATACCTCTTTAGATGTTTGCTGTCATCTCCTGCCAGGTGGAAAATATTATCTATGTGCTGTGAAAAATTTAACTTGTTATTGAATACGATAAAGTTTTGGTAATTGAATGCGTCACACATTTACTGAAGACAATGCACCATCTGTGCAACTGTGATGACTAAACCCGTGCTATAAACTACAAATGCTCCCCGACTCCGCGCGACCCTCCGCAATTACATCAAATTGTGCGCACTATAATGAAATCGTTATAAACACGGTTCCCGCATTAATGGCGTAATCGCACGCCTTGTGGGAAGCCGACATGTGCGTTCATATTTCCTTACATTGGATGCTATTAATAGGGCCATTGTTTGTTCGTTTCGACCATTTGAGCCTTTCAAAGCTCGTCAGCGAGGGAAACGGGAATTATGTTTTTAAATAATAAACAACTTGGTATTTCTTACCTTAAGTGTAATTGACTGAAATCACTTTATTCCTTAAGTTTAAAAGAATTATTAATGCACTATCTACATAATAATTAAGGTAATAAATACAAATTTCTACTCCTGGATATGGACTAAAACTTTCTTAATGATCTACAGAACATAAGAGAAGTGGTCTAGAATTAATAATCAATTATGACACACGATCATTATTTTCAATACTAGATAAAATAGAATTTTCCCACAATTACTCGAACATTGATTGCCTTTCATAATAGCCGTCCATTATGTTGAATTCTTTATACACTGACGGACTTTTCTTCACGTAATCGACTACCTTTAACTAAGCCGAGGCTCCTATGCAACCTTTCGTAATTTAAATATGGGATTACCGTTTGCTACTTTTATCGTATGAAGTTGTGATCAGAAATGTAAAATCCTCGTATCCTCGGTTTTAGAAAGTGATTTAAAGTTGATTGGCCCTCAAGCTAGAATATTAATATTTTTGATTATTCTGTATACGAAGTTGCGTGATTTAGGTATCCCTTATTATCTCTATATAAATCCGATGTGTTGATTGTTGAGTAAACAAAATATTCCGTTATGTTCCTTGGAGATCCCGGAACCTTCGTCTATGTCACTAGAGGATGACCACCGAGGGGGTTTTAGTAGGACAAATCCTATATAAACCTGCCTTCCCCCCAGAAGGCAAGGTATCTTTTGGAGATTTTTCAACGACACCAAGAAAAAAGTAGACAAAATATACATTTGATTTAAAATGCCGTATTTTTAAGACAGTAGAGAATATCTTTTTTTATTTTTATGGCACTAAAGTACTTTAGTATTAAAATATGTTTAGAGCAATTATTTAACTGCATTTCCTTTTTTACAGATGGCGCCTCTGCGTTTTGTACGACAAATTGTCGACATCGTCACAGCAAACTCTTGCATGGTAAGCAAATCTTACTATTAGCTTATTCCACAAAGTAAGATTCTAATAACATACTTATTAGAAGATTCAATTACAAAAAAGAATGTGCAAAGAAATCCGTCAAAACTGCATGCTTACAGGATAATTTTAATTTTAATCATTTTCATCGAATTTAATAACAATATTCTTTTTTTTTTTTAAATTAGACTACGTCGATAGCAGCAAAATAAACAATGGTAGACTCATCTTGCATAATTTGCATTTTAAACGCTTATTCACTATTCTCAGAATAAATAAATTGCAAATGCTATTTAAAATAGAAATAGCCTATCGATTCTATTAATTAGTAACGAACCCGCTTCGGTCTATTGTTCAGACTGTATACAGTTTTTTTTAATTATTTGCCAGAGAACAAAATACCTACTCTACCATTTCATTTGCATTTAACGTTCAGCAAAATTTATAAGCACCGTTTTGGCAGATCGTAAATTTTCCCTTAATTTACGTATACAATAAATTAATTTATGTTTAACATTTTGCAAATTATTAATTCGCTCTTAAAAGTGTTATTAAGAATTTAGGGGATCTCATTTTAACAGCTGTAATAAATTTACTTGAATCTTAAATGCAGGTATTAATAGTACCTCTCTATTACATTTAATGACTATATATTCGAATTAACATCGATAATAAATATCGATACAAACATCGATGTTGCGCTCACAGTTACATATCGAACGACAATGCGAACGTAATCGGATGTGGAATCTGTCGACATAATTGGCGTAACGAAAGCTGCACTCGAATTATTCGCGTATTTACGCGCGAACAGCAATTAAGAGGCGGATTGCGGAGCGTTTGTCGCGCGGCCGCGCACAGGTACGGTATCTGCATAATGCCACTCATTTGGCGAACGTTTGTCGCGCACAAATGAAGCGTTTCGATAATCACAGGGCTGCATCCACAACTGCTCGAAAACTCAACACGATGTAAAAAAAGATAGTGTCAACCCTATAGCTTGGTCTATCAATAAATAAATCGTTAATGTCGAATAGGAATTAGGTACTCTGTTTCTTTAATTACTTACAAACTTCACCTCGTCTGTTACAACCATAACCTAAAATGCATGTCAACTTCATAAAATACCAGTGACGTTAGCGTTGAACTTGATCATTTGCCCAATCCACAATAGAAACCCACTTTAAAAATTTAAATAGAAAATGTTTTTGTGCCAATATTTCGAGCGGCAACCCTAACGCGGCGTCTAATAGCGCGTGAAACCGTCAGCGCGAGCGGAGAGCGTTTTTATTTGCCGCTTCGACGGCTCGAGGCGGAATTGTTTAAAATTGTTTTTCGGCCGAGCGTTCGTGCTTCGTGCCAACGGGTCCCGCACACGATCTACGAGCAAACTAGTTACATATCACTAGTTACAATACTCTACACGTACGATACAAAAAAATAATAATCGTTGATTATAAAATGTTTCTTAGAAATATGCGTATGTTAGATTTTTAAAGCTGAATTTTTAAACTACACCGTGTTTCGGATTTATACTGCTCGTAAATTATTTTTCCCAAAAATTACACACTTAATATATAGATTGTATAATTATAGTACGTAATACAAATGATTACACACTCGATATATTCATGAAGTGTGTCTTAGTTGCACCGCGCTGCACGCTCAAGAGTTCTTCGATTAATTAACTGATGATTGGTATGTAGTGAGGTAGAGATGTGCGGACAGACGGCCCACTTCTGAACACCTGAGTATACGCTCTAACTGGGTCAAATGTAGCCATGCAAATGTACCTTAAGGTAATACACAATGACTATACACATACACAAACGCAAACTATACACGAGCCCAAATCGATACGAAGAAATATCGCACGAAACTTCTAGAAACTAAAATAATTACTTAACGGTCCATGGCTTCGGTATTTTATATTTAGATGTAACTTAGAACTGGTAGAACTTGAAATTTCATTAATTATTCAGTCGCGTCGCTTAATTATCTCGACCAAAAACCGAGTCCCTCGAGCGGGACGCGATTTTAATAACAATATGACATTACTCTAAATGTCTGCCGACCCAATTTCCGAACGCAATTTGTAATTCAGGCGTCCGTCCGCTAGTCGCGTCCGCAACTCGCATTTTTAATCAACAAACCCTAGAATTCATTCGAAAATTTGAATAAAGAACTTCCGATGTCCAACACGAAAGGGTTGTATTTGTAGATCGTACAAATTGTTTGAATTTGCTAATTGTTAGTATTTTAACGACTTCGGTGCGAGTATTTCACACAATAACCGTTTCACGTAAAGTCAAAAGGGCTCCGGCGTAAGTTTTTGTAGTATTTATTTTTTTAACATTTCTATGTATTGTCATTTCTATCATTATCATTATATACATAGTCAATTCTCTTTCTTCCATAGATAAACTGTCTTAACATATTTCATTAAGTTGTATGGAGTAGTACAGATGTCGATATAGTGTGGGCATTTCGCTGTGCGCTCTCCGCGGCCGCAATTAAACGATTTGCATAGCTATCCGAGCGCCCTATCACGTTTTTACGCCTCTTTGTGAGCTTTTGTGCTGTGTGCCGGCCCCGGGCGCCTCGTGACCGCACCGCATGCTGCACGATACGTGCTCATCCGATTATAATACTTCCTTAAATCATCGAATACATTGGTAATGTTAAATACTGTTCGACGAGTATTGTAAAATCAGCAGATTTTATTCCTATCTAATCTTAATAAAATTGTGGTTAAAGAAAATTTAAAACTATTAAATCCATCGAACTTTTAAAGCATTATCCTGCCAGTGCATAAACAGAATCCTTTATGCGCTCGATACAGCATTGTTTTATCCCCCGTATATTTCTATGGCCGTAGATTAACGACAAAGCAAACAAAGTGTCAGTAATTGAATAATTTACGAATAGAAATCCAATAACCGAGGGAATAGTTCTCCGCGGCCCCACAGCCTCGCAGTAACGGATATAGGATACGGATTAATCCTAAAAAAACATTGCAACGTTCATAAAACAACGTCGGAATCGGGCGAGCGTCCCGACCGGTCACTTTATTGGATTTTAGCGGAAATTTCACCGGGACAGGGGGCGAAACGAGCGCGCCGCTGTTTGCGAATGACCTGCATATAGGATTTTGATTATGATTTGTGCCGGACCAAACTGCTCGCTCGTAGACACAATGGATACGCGTCGAAAAATTTCCGCGAAGCCAACGATCGAGCTTGACGAATGACGGGGAAGTCTGACATAGGCGGCTAACACGTCTGACGCATTATAGGCTAACTGTCAATGGCATACATTTATAACATGTTATATGTAGATGTTGTGTAATTAAATGTCTTTTATTTTTACTCAAACTGTTGTTCGTTCTTATGTTATTTTTCTTAAATTCATTTTATTTGAGCTAAAAGTATTGCTGAAGTCGCACATAAAAAATGTAAGATTCATTAGAAGCAAGGAGTTTCCAGAAGACGAATACCGGCTGGTTAAGAACCAGCTCTAGGTGGACGGTCGATGCCTTCTCGGAATCGCAATTGAGTTTACATTTAGCGCTGCTCGCTGCGATTGTTGTAAACTTATTTACGCTGCAAAGTCGCTTCTTTGTACAAAGCAAGAGATTGTTGGTGTTGCATCCATCTGCAGTCGCGCTTAACAGCATTAAGAGCTTTCTGCAACTCCGTAGTCAAATCAAGTCGGCGTTCGCGTCTCCGCGCTAATTGCTGAAAGCAGAAAACGTAATAAAAGTACCGAGTCTTTGAAGGAAAGAAGCTACCGCGGCCGCCTCGTCGGAGTACATTTTAATAAATTAAAACTGCGCAAAATTCTCATTCCAATATCACTCTATTTATCTTTTTTGCTTCCGCCCCGGCGTACTTCCTTCGCCTTACACTGCGTTCCTTTTATTTTATAATGGAGAGGCTATCAATTTATTTAATACATTGCTGGTGTTCCCGGTTTAATAGGAACGTGACTTTAAATTACGTATATTTTATAATCTGTACAGAATACAACATTTAAATGCGTTTTAAAATTGCCTTTTTTTGCATTTGAACTTAATGCTTACCGAAATGACAAAAACACTAATAGTGTTTAAACAAATTGTTTTCACGTTCCAGGTGGTGCTAGTATCGCTAGTGTTACTGTCGTGGCGCAGCGGGGCGACGGCGCTCGCCAACTGCCCCGCCGGCTGCAGCTGTAACGACGACACGCTGGTTGTGGTCTGCGAGGAGAGCCGGCTGGATGTCCTGCCCATCGCCCTCAACCCCTCCATACAGCGGCTCATCATCCGCAACAACAAGATCAAAACGATCGACAGCTCCATGCAGTTTTACGCGGAACTGCAGCACCTCGACCTCTCGCACAACCACCTCGTCAATATCCCCACTAACAGTTTCGCCTACCAGCGCAAGCTCCAGGAGCTGCATTTGAACAACAACAAGATATCATCCATCACCAATACCACCTTCCGGGGGCTCAACTCCTTGACAGTTCTTAACGTAAAAAGAAACTACTTGGAGGAGCTCAATAACGGAGTGTTCACGACGCTGCCGAGATTAGAAGAACTAAACTTAGGCCAGAATAGTATATCTAGAATAGAGCCAAGAGCATTCGCCGGGCTCACCGCCCTGAGAATACTCTACTTGGACGATAATCAGCTAAGTTCGGTGCCTACACCTTCCTTCAGCCTGCTGGGCAGCCTCGCCGAGCTACACGTCGGCTTGAACGCCTTCTCTTCTCTACCCGACGACGCATTCGCCGGCCTCAACAGACTAACTGTACTAGATTTGAACGGAGCTGGACTCTCAAATATTAGTGAGAACGCGTTCAGAGGTCTACCAGGATTAAGAAGTCTTAATCTTCTATGGAATAGATTGAATGTGGTGCCAACGCAGCAGTTGTCCGGTCTAACGAGATTGGAAGAATTGTACATAGGACAGAATGACTTCGTAGAATTAGAATGCCATTCATTTAAAGGTTTGAAGAACTTGAAATATTTGGACGTTACCGGTGCTACACTATTGGAACGCGTTCAAAGGGGCGCTTTCGAAGATAATGTAAATTTGGAAACTGTCATATTAGCTAATAATAAGAAGTTATCAGTTATCGACGATTGTACACTATTAGGACTGCCGAAGCTTAAACACGTGTCATTAAGAGACAATGCAATCGTTACGTTGAGTGAAACTGTGTTTATAGGTAAAGAATTGAGACAACTAGATTTGAATGATAATCCAATAGTATGTGACTGCCACATGCGATGGCTACAAGAACTTTTAAACGAGAAGAATAATTTCACCCAAATCCAGTGCGCGAGCCCCGACAACCTGAAGGATAAATATTTGAAGACATTAAACGCGGAAGACTTAGGTTGCATGGTGCACGACACCCGGCAGCAGACCTTCATCTGTGTGGTCGTTGTGGCCTGCGTTGCAATCATCGCGGCCGTCGTCCTCATATTTTACCGATATAGGAAGAGTATGCACGAGAAACTGAAGGATTACAAATGGAGCAAGGGGCGCAAAAACCTGGAATACCACAAGCCGATATCGACCGAGGAGGACTGCATAGTGCGCGGCATCCACCCCTCGCAATACCCCGCGCCTCCCCCGCACACCCCCAGCCTCAGGACAATTCCGGTGACGGAACTGTAGCTAGAGCTTTACGCCTCCCCGAGCGTGTTCTTTATGTCTGGCGGCCAGGGCTCAGCGCGCCGGCCGCCGCGCTCGGGGGGCGGCGGCACCATGCCCGCCAACGGGTTCACCTACATTGGCGGCGACGGCCGCGCGCACCAGCCGCACCAGCCCATGACGCTCAACAACGGTGCGCCGGCACATCATCTTAACAACGGCTCGCTCCGCTCCTTGCCGGATAAGAAGAACAACCGCAACGGTGTCATATGCCATCCGGAAAACTTCCAGCGGAACCTCGACACCCGCTACTCCAGAAAGCAGGAGAACGGGTACCTGCGCAACTCCGAAACCATTATCGGGTTCCCGCGGGACCGCGACCGGGAGCGAGAACGGGAGTACGAGCGGGAGGTGCCGGACTACAGCGAACCGGAGTATTCCGTCATTGCGGAGGGCTACGGGCGCGCTGGGGAGTACCCGCGCGCCTGCACGCACTCCAACACTTTCAACTGCTGAGTGTGCGCACAGAACTTTTTTAACCGTTTGTGATCTTGTAATTCTAGCAATAAATCTTCATTCCATTATGTTTTTCTATGGATGAACTAAGTCGTGATGGGACGTAGAGCTCTAGAGCGATTAGTGACGTTAGTGTTTCGGGTCAGGTATACGTACGACCAGTGAGGACTATCCTGAATCGTATTTGATTTTAATAAGAGAGTACCTTATTTGTAAATTATAAATTTAAGTAGTGAGGGATCTATTTTTCAATGAAATGTAAGGGGGGCGGGAAGACGTTTGAAAGTTTGACTTTCACAGAGGACGAGGTGGGTCGTGTAAGTGGCAAGGCAGATGTCGACGCGAGGGGAGTGTGCAGACCTGACAGTGATGCGCGTGCGCGTGTCGCGGCTGCCCGCGGCATGCGCTTTGCCGAACCGACCGCGATCGTACAATGTACAGGCTAGTCGATATAAGCATAGGTAAAGGAGGTTGTGGCAGTATGTAAACACCTCCCCTATTTTTTTTTCATCTTAATCATGTGATCTTGTATTTTGTTTTCCCCCACAATCGTGGATTATTGTATTTGATTTTGTACAAAACCATTCCATAAGAAAAACCTATTAATGTAACGTTTTATTTATAGATGACTTGATAAGCATTAAATAAGACACCAATATAAAAAGTATATTAGAAATTAACGAATGTAAATATATTTATATTGAGATATTTATAAAATTTAATACGATCTTGTTCTTCTAAATTTATCGTAAAGTACTTTTTCCGATATTGTATTGTTTGCTATTCGGACTGACGAACGGACTCTATATGTCGCGACTCTGTTACCATCTGTAGTTAATGTCCGCCATAAGTTGACCGTGGCTTCCATTTAGCGAAACATTTATACAAAATTATGTTGTTAATTTTTTTTTTAGTTAAAAAGTACTAACAGTGTATTTTGTACGAATGTTTCTAAAGTGGCAACCCCGGTCGTTTAATTAGATATGAATATGAACTATGAAGCACCACTTTGCAATCTTCACGTCTCGATCACTTCGTAATGCTCAATCCTAATATAGTATTTTATTTTAACTTTCACTTGTCAACACTTTAACCTTTGTCATTTAATCCTTAGAGTGTAATGGTGTACTGCTAGGGGAAAGCCTTAATTGAAAAGTATTGCCAGTTATAAAAAAATATTTAAATTGGTAGATATAAATATGCAGGTGACTTACAATTTTTTGCCATTTAGATAACAATACAGTCGAATTAAACAAATTAGGACTTTATGGACACTACTATATAATGTATATTTGTTTGACAGTAGGGTTACTCTAGTAGTATACACTCCGTTATCGACCTCATGAGAGCATTGTTAATTCTACTTAATAAATTGAAGTTCATGCATTAAGCACATATTTTATTAATTTTTAATTATATTGTACCTCGGTAAGAACTACATTTACCCCAGTTTTATTATAAAATGACTATCAAAATTTAATTTGAGTTTTATCTTTGATCGTTCACCATTCAATAATACAGTTTTAAATAAAGTAATGCTTAAAACAGTTCAAAGTAAGTGATTATTATTAGTTACTAGTATTATAAATGCGAAAGCCTAGATGGCATGGCAACACCGCACGGTCGAAGACGCGGGCGTCACTTAGTTTAACATAAGTAACTTTAATACTTATACATATGTAAATTTTTATATCATTATAACGTTGCATTTGTTAATTCAAAGAGCAATTAAAAAACTGTTTTAACAAGAAATAATATATGTAACTTGTTTATTGGCGAACGATCAAACTTAATGAGCAAATATTGTTTACTTCAATTTTACTCTGTTTACATTAACAAGGACAGTTTTATTTTAATATGAAGACGGAGAAATTAAAGACTAAATTAATTAAGGCATGCATTAGTGGATGCCGAACGAAGTATACAAGTAATGAATACATATGGAAAACTTGTGATTAGTGTACTCACATTTGTAATAGGGCATCAGTCATTTCTGTACTTTATTGTAGTTATTACCTACATACAAACTCGATAAATATAACATACCTCAAATTTTACCCTTTGTTTTATTTCATTATTATTGTCAGATGTTAAGTATGGAACCCAGATGTGATTTCCAACGATTATGTGGCCTTACAAACTTGGTACTCAGCTTCATTTTTAAAGGTTGAATTCAAGAGAGAATGACTTACCGTAGTAAGGATTATTACAGTTTTTAGTTTTTCCTAAGTAAAAGTAAAGAATTAAGATAATACCTCACCTCAATCGTATTATAATTCATGTGGCAAAAGACATGTGTAAAACTTACAACTTTTATTTTAAAAAAAGGTCTAGCTGTCGCTGGCTCCAGGTCTAAAACAAGCCGTATTTTACACATTTGTGAACTTAAAATAACGCCATCTAGTAGCGAAAGATAGTACCCCAATCTTTACAAACTAGCGACATCTATTGCAAACTAATTTAATCATAAACAGTAAATGTGAATTGTCACATTTGTCGGATATCAATCATAAAAGGTTAATAAAACTATCTTAGTAAATGTAGATTAATTTATTTATAGTATGCAACATTTATTTTTACAAAATTGTTCAGCCTTGTGATAGGGAGCAGCAGAATGCAGACATGATCACAAAAATAAATAAAAATGAGTTTAGGCGTCAGAGTTGTAAAATTGGAATATTATGAGTAGTTTTGCCTAAGCGATATTAGAGCCGCAGTTAGAACTTCTCCTCCTCTAAGCCGTGTTTGAAGAACATCATGATAGGTGTAGACACTCCGTCAATATCCCTGTATTCCATCATGGCGACCATGCCATCGCAGTCCATCGACTCCCCAGTGAAGAACTGGAGCTCTTTAAACCTGCCTAGGATGTCCTTCATCACTTTGTTCATGTTGGTCTTGAATACATCTACTTGGTCAGGAGATTTCTCTTCCAATTTTGCAACTAATCTGAAAATTAAACAAACAAGATGTTAGTAAATAATTACATTGCATGCAAATCATCTGGATTAAGATATCTAGCTAGCTATTGATCGAGATTTCATCACCATTAAATTAAAAAATATATAGCCAATGGTAAAAGAATTTTAGAAATTGCTACAGTTGTTTTTGAGCTATTTCAATATGAACCAAAGTACAAATATTCATAATATTAGTATAGCCTATCAGTTACAACTGAGGATCTGCAGACTAAACAAGATGATGTGGCAGTCTTATAACACATGTACAAAACACAGTATTGGTTTTAGCTCTACTAACACCCAAGGCAAGATTTCTTAAGCACATTTTTAACCAAAAGAGGTTAATAGTATTATGTAAAAGTAATTCCTCTTTCTGTTAGGTGCTCTAAGCAGTGGACTAACCACACCTTACCCAAACAATGTATAGAAAAAACTATCAGAAAACATTCTTACATAAACATATGTTACAAGGTAATTTGTATGTCATCTCCATTTCATGAACAAACATTATAGAAATGAATGTTTTTTCACTAAAGTTATTTGATTTAGCATCAAAAGCTCCAATAGAATGATATATAAATCAAACAATGGTATTAGATGATGCACATGCAATACAACACAATAATTATTACTAAATGAAGTAGTGTAAAAGTTACAATTCTCCCCAATTTTAACATTATAGCATATGACAGGTAAAAATGAAGGACAAAATAATCCTTATATCATGTTATTAAAATAGTCTATCACAAGTAGAACCTTATTAAGAAATGTTTTACTTGTTTACATGACACAATCTAATCCTGACATGGTAAATCACTCTGGCCATGATTCAGTCTTATAAGTGTACATGTTGCAAACATTTATATTGACTTCTGAAAATGTGCATGAGCAAGAACTGCCTTAAAGAATCTATATAGCCTAAATTATAAGTCATAAACAGTGATAAATATGACCATGGTTCTGAAAACTATGAAGTGAATAGAGGATGACCATGACTAACTCTTGAAACTCCACATAACTTGTATTGAAAAGAAACTGACACAATTGCAAACCCTGGAGAAAGTCCACTAACTTTCACTTCATTCACTCTATCACTGTATTTCGCGATTTATTTGTTTAAACTTGTTATAAAACAAATTGATATAAAACACTCACTTTTTCATATAGTCTTTAAGATATAATGTGTAGGACTTCTTGTCTCCGAAGGCATATGTTTCCACTAGCCTATGATTCAGTACGATATCGACACCGCTCTCCACAGCGCTGTCGGTGCCCTCATCTGCTTCCTCAGCAGAGGGGTTGAAGCCCTCAATTTTGATGTCGCCTTGTGCTCTTGTCACTAATCTACCGGTGACTTCATAGATCACTTCGTCGACTAATTTCATTTTGTACGTGTCCGAGAACATCTCGTCACCTAAAACAATCACAATAACATGTTACAATATGGTTATTAATGCTATAAAACAGAAGTCTGGTTTGTCGATGTGGCAGAATTACACATAAATTTGAAGATATACATTTACTAGTCAAGATGTCACAAAACAATCACTTTGACATTTTTATCATTTATCACTGAAATAATTTGCACAACTTATTCACCACATTAATTAAATCATATTTACCGGTAATAATGTCCTTATAAATTCTCATATTTGTGGATTAAAGGCGATTGAAATAATAAAAACCGAAACTACGGCTCCCAGCCCCAAGAACTTCACCGGAAAGGGCTAAAAAAAGAAAGAAAGATTAAAAAAAAGGACCAATGTTGCCATATCACATTGGTTCACAGATTCAAAAAAAAATTAAACAGATATGAAATTAAAAATCGATAGGGAATTAAAACACATATTATCCATTGCATGTTCCCTTAAGAAATATACGAAAAAAACAGCAACTTTAATAATTGTTTTAAAGTACTCCATTGCATGTATATCGTACTTGCTGATTTAATTTATTTTCTTAAACTAACTGTGGCCAATTTTGTAAATAAATTGGGCCGAAACCATTAATAAAACTATGTTTTTGGTTCAATTAGCTAAGGGAGAGGCATAACCAAACAATTAAAGTAAATACTACTGGTAAATACTTGATAAATACATCAAACCACCGATGCCGACTATCTTTTTTGTTCGTACTACATATATTCAGTATAACGTGAATGACATTTGTTTTCTATAAATACTTCATTAATTGCTGGTTATGCATCTACTAAGAATTATGATGCTTTTCCATATATACGATTTTTTATAGAAGTTTAAAATATTCTTGGAACACGGTACGTTTGAATGGAACGCTGAAGTCAGGAGAGGCTTAGCAACTTTTTACCTTTTTACGGACGGACATAGATGGCGCGATATGTGACCCGTGAAAATGGAAGTGTTCCTGTACAATTCCACAGTATGTAGATTATGTGGGGAAGAAAACGATAATGGAAATCTTTTATATTCAACTGAAGAAAATGACCAAAATCTCAGTCAAATTATTAACACATATTTACCCATTACGGTAAGGTGCAGTTTATTAAATTGTAATTGTTTTGACTTTGAATGTCTTAAGATGGCTGCCTGTTCACTTGAACTTAACATTTTCGTACCTTTATTGTGATTTATTTTTTATTATTTTGTTATTAAAGAGTGGTAAATTATCAAACTATAATTTAAGATTTTAGAATTTATTTCTTTGTAACTCGTTACGTTGTAATTTAGGCGTATACAAGAAAATTATTTTAAAGAGAGGATTTAAAAGTCATTTTGGACTTCTCTCCACATCCGCTAAATTTGATTTGACGTAATTTTGTTTACTAACTCTTTTTATCAATTTTATATTCCTTTCTCTTGAATTTGTCTGTAATTCATAAGCCTGTTAGTAATTAAGAACTTTTAACTATTTTCATGCAAAACACAGGTCACAGATGATGGTCATTTACCACGTACTATTTGCCCTGGATGTACAATACAACTGGAAGCCTCGGTGGAATTTTTGAATCTAATAATAAATGGCCAGGTAAACACATTCCACACTTAAATATCTATAAATCTTTAAAATCATATTACCTGTAGTGTACATAGAGTTGATTATGTTTGCAGAAAGTTTTAAGAGAACTTTACGAAAGAGAGAAAGAGTACAAAAAGTCCTACACTTCTTCCAATGAACCTGAGGTTATAACTGAAAAAATAATTTATGAAAGTAAGTAAAAATGTCGTAATAAATTGCATGACTTGAATTTATTTTCTCTCTTTATTGCTGTTAATATCTAACAGTAACATTTCTGTAGTGTTGTAAAATTTTCAAATTAATGATATCTTAGTTTATGATGCTATGTTGGACATTATGTGATATTCACTATCAATTTACAGTAAATACTGGTAATAAAGTATATCAGTTAGAGCATCCAATATCTCTACAAGTAGCGGGATTGGAAAAGCCTAAAAGGAAAAGGGGCAGGCCTCCGAAAATACAAAAGAGCCCTGAAGAGTTAGCGGAGAAAGATGCTCTCAAGGACCAGGAGAAGGCCAAAATTGAGAACCATGATAGTGATGGGACAGGCAAGAGACGCCGGAAGACTCCTACACGGTTCAAGGAAGTGGTACAGGTAAGATTGTTATGAACATGTAAGCAAGAAAGAATACATATGCCGGTAGCTGGCACATTAGCATTATGCCTCGCTTAACCAGTACAGTTAGACAGTAACATGCAATGGTGAATCCAAACTGGTGCTAATGAATACATACAATCCATGTCTGGCTTAAATTACTGTACAAGTATGAGGCGTAAGATACTGACAGATTCCAGGTACAGCCATGTATATACAGTAACTGGCTTGTAGATGACACAATATTTGATATTTTTACTACTTTTTTAATTCCCCGCTGTCAAAATGGTGTAAAGGGTGGTCCAAAGTTATGCTAACGAAGTTTGCAGGTGATAGCTTGTCTCTAATATTATTTCTATTTTACTTGCATTTTTTTGTTAGTGTAACATTATTGTACATTGCTATTTATCAAGTCTGCTAGGTGTAGTTTTGCTTGAAAATTTATTCTTAGAACATTGCCTTGTATGTGTGATAGGTATTATAAACATATAATTTATAGGGTAAAGAATTGGAGAGAATATTTAAAGAAGAAGGGATGACTGACGGTGAAGACAGTGATAGTGAAAAGAAGGTTGTTGCAGAGGAAACACCTAAGGTACCAGAGGTGAAAGAACCTCAGGTTATAGGACACTTGGAACAATCTGGAGAGCTGGTTGTTGTGTTGAAAGGAAAAGGGAGAGGCCGTCCTAAAGGTAAATTTTTTATTATGTCTCAGACATATAGCTCATTAGTTTTGTAATTGAAAATTCGGTAATTTGTATTGCAGTTACAAAAGTCTGTATGTAAAATATGGAATTACAAGCGATTGCTAGTATTAAATCTTGATAATGTTATGTATGGAATGTTTAGGTGGATGGAAGGATATTTTTTAGAAGGAATTTAGCACAAATTTAGAATATAGTTTAGAAGAACATGGGCTACTGATTTTTAATTCAAAATATATATGTATATGTATGTGCACTCGCAGGTCGTCTCCGTCAGACTCGCGAGCAGTGCATGATCTGCGGCATGGAGTTCAGCAGCACGGGGCGCTACATGTCGCACATAGCGCAGCACGGCCCCGTGCTGTACCAGTGCGCCAACTGCCAGGAGACCTTCGCCACGCGTCTGCGCTTCTGCGAACACCAGGAACGGACCAAACACTGTGGACAGAACATCCTGCAGTGCAAGGACCTCACCAGCACTAAGGAGAAGAAACGTTTGGTCAGTATTGTGCACGATTAGACATTGTATACTAACATCGGCGTCAACAGGGAATGATAGGCAAGAGTAACTGTCCTCCCTAGTCTTAGCTTAGATTATTCGCTGGCGATACTTAATATTATAAATGAAAAAATGTTGATGGATGTTTGTTCCTCTTATTATTATCCTCAGACGGTTTAATAGATTTTAATTAAATTTTTGACAGATTTTGAACATAACCTGAAAAAACATACAGGCTACCTAAATTTTTTAAACTAATTATATGATAGTTTAATTCAAGTTAATAGATGATTTCTATAGACTAAAACATATCCTAAAGGATTTTTTTTCTCAATGTTATTTTAATTTCCAAATGTTATGTAATAAAATTATAAATGCGAAAGTTTAGATGGATAAGGGATGGATGAAGTTTGTAGCTGAACGGATTTAGATGAAATTGGGTATAGATGTCGAGGATAGTCTGGTAGAACATATTGCTACTCACTTTAGTTTTTTTATCCCACGTGGACGGAGTCGCGGGCGAAAGCTAGTATTTTTAAAATTCAATTACCTTATTAATCAATGGTAATGTTAAATTTGCAGAAATCTGGTAAAAGTGAGCAATTAGTGGAACAAGAAGTTGAAATAACTCCGACTGTGACTGACACGGTGACGGTAGTGAATGTGGACAGCATTGTGTCAGGTGACACTGCGATACCTGATGTGTCACCAGACATGGACGTGATCACGGTGGTCACTACTGAAGAGTCGAACAAAGAAGAGGATTTTAAAGTCGAAAAGACTGAAGATACTGGTATAACTAATACTATTACTACTACTAACTATATACTAACTAATACTAATACTTGTTTAACAAAAGAAGTCGTAAATATACACATTTTTTTTTATTTAGTACAGGAAAGTAATCCAATAGCATTAAAGACGGAAGCACCAGTGGGGGAAGTGAAGACCAAGTTGAAGTGCAATCATTGTGATAAGGAGTTTAGCAGCAGGCAAGCAAAGTCCATGCATAACAAGGTAAACATATAATATTATTGTACGATATACCAGAAACACGCTGTTTATTAATAGTTACTAATCATTAGTAATAATAAAATATTGCCCATGTTACTCACAGATAAATTACCTTTTTGATGGTAAAAGAATTTTTAAAATCGGCCCAGTAGTTTTTTAGTTATTCCAATACATACAAATATATATATTTAATAAGGATAAGGAAAATATATAATAATATTTTCCTCTTTATAATATTAGTATAGATTACATTTTAAAAAGTCTAATAAATCATATTTTATTTTACTAATAATATAAATGCAAATGTAAATGTTTGTTAGAGTTTACTTCCTAAACTCCTGAACATATCTTGATGATATTTGGTATAGATAGTATTTATATACTACATTATTGTAGTCAGGTACATACTTTTATTTTTCTTTTTAAATCTGCGCGATTGTAGTTGTGGGCAAAAGCTACTACTATTATAACTGCAAATGTTTGCTGCATGGAGTTTTAATTAAAGATATATCCAGAACTGCTCAATGGGTCTCGATTAAATTTCAGAAATCTTTACTTCTGTATTAATATAAAGAGGAAAGATTTGTATTTTTGTATATATTCGATTCATGTAAAAACTACTAGGCCGATTTTGAGAATTCTTTCACTGTTAGAACTAATTAATCTGTGAGTAACATAGGCTGTATTTTTTTTAATTTCACGCGGACGAAGTCGCGAGCAACAACTAGTCATAATGTAGAAGAATACATAGGTCTAGTTATTTTTTTTAAATTCCTCACACTAAATTTAGAGTAATAAATAAATGTGTGTTTGTTTGTGTGCAGGCGGTGCACCAGGGCGAGAAGCCGTACCAATGCGGGGAGTGCGGCGCGGCGTTCGGCTACCCGCGCTCGCTGGCGCTGCACCGCGTCTCGCACCGCCGCCATCGCCGCGCGCGCGGATACGCCTGCGACCTCTGCGGGAAGGTACGCACCGCACCGCACCACACCACACCACATCACACCACACCGCACCGCACCACACCGCATCACACCACACCACACCACACCACATCACATCACACCACACCGCACCACATCACATCGCATCACAACACATACAGGATGCAACCTTTTTACTATGTGGGTCTGGCGGTCTCATCGCTATTTTGGCGAATTCTAGCCGCATCGTTACCTTGTGTTATAAAAATCAATGCGAATTTCAGGTTTTCCAAATAACTAATTAATTAGTAAAAGTAATTAATACTTTTATTTTGTAATTATTTTTGTGTTATTTAACTTACTGTTTTTCTATTCTTTATTTGCACAATAATGTTTTTGTACAATATTTATATACGACGTTCAGATATGACGGCTGATAGAGATGTATGGAATAACAGCACATACTGTGCTGACCCTCCGTAAGGGATAAGAGCAAGTTGATGATGACAATATTTATATACGGGAGGACGTGTCATCGGCAGTATGAACATCAATTACAACTTTACCTACTTTGTAATAAATAGCTGTTGGTCTTCCATACAAATAAAAAAAGTCTCCATCAAACATGTGAACTGAAGTTTACTGTAAACGTGCAGGTGCTGAGCCACCCGTCGTCAGTGGTGTACCACAAGCAGTCCGCGCACGCGGAGCAGCGCTACGTGTGCGGCACCTGCGGCAAGCACTTCCGCCACAAGCAGCTGCTGCAGCGCCACCAGCTCGTGCACTCGCAGCTCAGACCCTTCAGGTGCAAGGTCAGCGCAGAGTACTTTGTCGAGTGTTTTCCGATGGGACGATGGATCGATCCAATTCATTTTTCATTCAGTTTTTATTCACCTATTCAACAGAAAAAACGTCCCATTGGGTCGATTGAATCGATTAACGCGATGAGGAAATGTACAATTTTGACTGATTTCATAGTTTTTAAAAAAGAGTGTAATAAATTTATATTTAATTACATTAAAAAAATGTACCTTGCAAAACAATAATTTATAACAAATTTTGTTCTGGAACTATGATATGGCTGTAACAATAAAACCACTCTTGAAGAATTCAAATTTTGAACTGATTTTAATTATATTTGATACTGGAATCGTTTTTTGTATTAACTACTTCATTTTTTCAGTTATGTAACTCATCGTTCAAAACGAAAGCTAATCTGGCGAACCATCAGATGTTGCACTCGGGCGTTAAGAAGTTCTCCTGCGAGATCTGCAAGCAGAAGTTCTCGCACAAGACGAGCCACACGCTGCACATGCGATGGCACACCGGTATGTGACTAATATGAAAAAAAAAACCACGTAATTAGAGATATAATCCAATTCTCCAAATCCAGAAATTGAATCATCAATCCAAATCCACTTTTCTTTCTTATTCTTTCACATAAGAAAATGATGGGAAAGGAAAGGAGCTAAAATTAGGGCTCCAGAATGTACAAAAGTTAATTTCGACTGTATTTACGTTACCGAATCCTGAAACGTCATTTAAATATGTAATACCATCTTTAACAATAAGGCCACACTTAAAAAAGATTCGTTTCAGTATTTGGCTTTTAATGTATTAACAAATGTCCACTACATTAGAATCGATGTTTAGGTGTGAAGCCGTTCGAGTGCGGCGTGTGCAACAAGAGCTTCAGCCAGAAGGGCAACCTGTCGGAGCACGAGCGCATCCACACGGGCGAGAAGCCCTACCAGTGCGCGCTCTGTCTGCGCCGCTTCACCACCTCCTCCCAGCACCGCCTGCATCTGCGCCGCCACGCGCCCGACCGCGACTGCGCAGTCTGCCCGCACTGCGCCTACAGGTACACCGCCCGCATCCGGACACGAGTCTGCATCCGGACACAGTTCTGCATCCGGACACAGGCCTGCATCGCATACGAGCCTGCATCCGGACACAAACCTGCAGTCATACAGGCTTGCATATGGACACAGGCCTGCATCCGGACTTTCTGCCATGCGCATTAAATACGCCTGAGTAGTGTCCCCGCACTTGGCCCCTAATTAAATGATTTTCGATTAGCGATATCGCTAGTAGAATCGTTAAAATATGTCTAAATGCAGAACAATAAACCGAAAGTCATTGAAAGTTTCATATGTTTGACTTTACAATCAGCGATAGCGATAATCAAATGTTATCCAGGAGGCTGGTTCCCCTTACTCAATATAAATGATTGAATCTAATAGAAAGTACAGTTAGTATGTTTATGCGTGCAGGAGGCCTTCCCGCGGGCGGAGTGGCGAGGGGGGCGAGGGCGGTGAGGGGGGCGAGGAGCGCTGCCCGTCGTGCGGCCGCAGCCCCGCAGAGCGCCCCGCGCCGCGCACACAGCGACACCTGCGCAGGATCGCACCCGCACCGGCTAAACCACAGGTATCTAACTAAATCTTCTCTAATTTAAGTATTAAGTAAATCTAATTTTATAAGCACTTTGCCCAGTCAGCAGTTACATCCAAAGTATCCAATCGCTACAGAAATCTGCTTTCTCGGTCTTGGTATAAGAATTGTGGTTTTGTTTAATCATGTTTATCCAATTGTGTTGTAACATTCCATGTATGTAAATAATAAAGCTAATGAAAAAAAAATTTAATATTTTAGTACACTTTGTCAGTTTACAGACCCCACTTGTGATATAAGTAAATTTATAAATGTACTGTAGTACGTCTAATTTGCAGCGATAAAAAAAGTCATTCACCTTAAAAACGATTGCGGAGTTGACAAACTATTTTCTCTCTCTTTTTATCTTGTGTGTTTATCGTAATGTCTCGTTCTTTCCGCAAAGGTACGACGTATTCGCCAAAATTCGGATTGTTATTAAGAGTGGATATTTTTTTAAGTTTATTAACTTTCAAATGTTTTATGTTGTACATATATTATTTTAATTTTATTTTTGATTTTAACGAGACTGTTTTAAATATGTTTTTTCAAACTCAGGCGTCGAAGCAAATTAGCCTGTTGGTATCTGAGAGCGAGCAAATGTCGGGCGTCGGCGTCCAGACAGAGGTGGATGTGGGGTTGGAGGAGGGATTGGACGCCGGGCTGCAGGAGGGGCTGGACGCCGGACTGGACGCGGGATTGGACGCGGAACTGCGTGATGAAGACGAGGACGTGGTGTACATCGCGTACCATCTCGACGAGCCCTCTACCTCGATACAGTTTAACCGACCCGAGGTATGACAACTTTCTTTCCAAGCTGCTCATGGCGATGAGATATTTGAAATCTTCAAACGTATCCTAGATTCAAATGATCATAGATATTGTCAGTTTGTTTTTGGACGGGGATTAAGTCAATGGAAGAATAGTTTCGTATTTCATTGAACATAACTAAAATTTCCAAATTAGCGGCTAATCTCCAAGACTAAAGAACCATTTGTAACGGAATGAATCTTAATTTTTTTTTAATGAATACTCCATACTACATATATTTTATGAAGTATAGTTCGCATGTCACTCGTGTTCCAGGAGCTGTACGCGCCCGCGCTGCCGGCCGAGCTGCCCGCGCTGCACCAGAGGGAACATTTGCCTGTTAGCATCACAATAAATATATAATAGGGGTAGAAGAATCTAGAATTAATTTTTATAATACCTTTTACATTACTAATATAATATAATGTGTGCAGGTGACGGACGAGCAAGGCAACTTGCTGCACTTCACTATGCAGGATGGCACCCGCCTTGCCATCACCTCACCTGACGGCGAGTGTCTGCAGGTATGATACATTTATATATAAACTAGCTTTCGCGCCCGACTCCGTCCGCGTAGAATTAAAAAAATCAAAAGTGAGTAGCCCATGTGATCTTCCAGAGCATCCTCTATGTCTATGACAAATTTCACCGAGATCCGTTCAGTTGTTTAGGCTACAAACTCTAACCAACATCCATCCATCTATCAAAACTTTCGCATTTATAATATTAGTAAGATATCACTTATTTGCATGCTTCAAAATATCACTTTTTAACACCACTGACTTCTTTCTGGGAAGCTTCAAAGTTATATTACTCTGATATGTTTTTCTTGAAAATTAAAATTATCAGACTTCTTTTCTAATAATTTTTAATTTGGCAAACTGTTTAGTCCAAAAACAGTTATTTTACTGCGTGTCTATAACATTTAGTTATAATATTTATACTTATTTGTTTGGTTACAGGTTGTAATGCAGGACGGACAAACTATACCCGTTGAGATTAATGGATTCGACGACGAAAAGGTTTGTATCACATTATATTTTTTTATTTATATTTGACTACATTTTTGGCCACGACTCTTCTCGCATGGAATTAAAAAAAAAAAGAGGTGTGTTTTCTTCCAATGACTATGTTTCAAATCTGCAAAATTTAATCGAAATCTATTTAGATGATTTTTTATATCTAAACTTCCGCATTTATAATATTAGTAAGATATTTAGTCGCAGTGTTCATGAAAATAGTCAATAATTGATGCGAAGGATGAAATTCTACATAACTGTGTACGCTATATTTTTAATACATATTTGTATCTTCAGGATTTTCTGGGTCCGGAGACGGTGGTGCACCAGCTGAACCTGCAGAAGAGTGACGACAGCAAGGCGCATCTGCCGCACTACTACACCCTCGTGTAGGCTGCGCTGACAGTACTGCACAGTCGCGGAAACTCGCGATGTTTTACTTTGGACAAATTAACTTATTCAGTGCAAAAGGGATAGTAATAAAAATAAACTGGCTGTGTACCACAACTTTTTTAGTACCTATACATAAAGCTGCATTGTATTCGTTTTTTTTTTGTATTCAAACTATTGTTTTTAAGTTGGAACATCTCCAGTTTCCCCGACTGTACATACCTATAAGGATCATATGGCAGTTAGAAATTTTGTAAATTAATGCCATCTTTAAAACGACATTTTGACCAATTAGATAATGGTAACTGCACTGTAAATGTCGCCATTTTTATTCGAAATTCGATTTTTAATGTAATTTGGTTTTTTTTATGGGAGAATTTCTAAATATGGTAATTTTTTGCTTACTGGTAACACTAGACACTAGCGCCAACACTGCTATAAGATCCTTTTAGGTCTGTATCCTATTTATTTCAATTTAAAAATGTTTATGTCAAACCAATGTCTAATTACTTTCTCGTATACTGTCGAAATATAATTAAGTTTCCAACCAATCAAGTAATACTATGTTGCGTTTTTAGAGAAGTTAGGCAATAAGTAATAAATACTTAAGCGCATCTTAAATTAGCCAAAACAAGCTAAGTCATTTATATAAAAATTATTAAGTAATTAGTATAAGTAGAACTTAATAAAGGTGTTGTTTTGACAATTATTTCCCAATGTTCTAATATTTGCTCAAATAAGTTTTCGCGTGCAAAGTTCATACATTTTCATATTTTATGAAACTGCAATCCGTAAACATTTAGATATATTAAGATTCTAGTTAGCTAGTTTGTATATAGTTTATTATTTATCTATTTTTATGTACATGCAAATATCATATTCGGATTTTGTCAATACCACAGATAAATAAGCCAATTTTATCTAATTTCAACATATTTTCATACAAGGCTTATGCCAAAAATTTTTTTTTTATTATTTTTAACTGAAACAAAAAATCTTAAGCCACCTTAAATACATTTTTTTTTGTGATTATTTTCGCTTTGATAACTGAAAAGTGAATATTAATCTAAAATTAGTTATTTTATGTATACGTGACCAGGAAAATAGAAAACTTCTCTTGGTGGCGCCACTATCGCTTTCATTATCGAGAAGAATTTTATTTAACTAGTGTTTTCCTGGTCAGGTTTGTTTTGTTTTTACTATTTTTTTAAAAAGTAACTATGCTTTGAAGATGTTTAAGTAAACTAAGCATAATATTGAAAATATGAAAAAGTAAAAAAACAATCGTCTCCTGTTAATTGTGATTATTTTTAACGCTGATTCTAAGTAAAGTTGTATGAAAACGAGTGAATATTCCACAATTTCATTTAATTTGAATAATTATTGTTTTTTTTAATGATTGGAATGAATGGCTATGATGATCCATCATAGCCATTTATTGTATGGCTGTAGTATGTATAGACATACAAAATGATTAAATTATTTGATTTTAAAAACGATATTTTTTTTAATTAAACCCTTTTCCTCGACATAACAGTATCAGCTGTTGTTGAAATTTATAAGATTTTTGGTTTCTGTTTAAGTTTTAATTTGGCGAACGGTTTTGGTAGAAATCAGTATTGTCTAATTTAACTTTTAACTTACCAGCGAGTCCATAAAATAACATCAATAGTTTTTTTTTTATCAAAATACAGTCACCTAAAGTCCACAATCAAATTCTGAAATAAAAAAAATGAATGTTAAACGCAGTCGCGTAGTTAATTCCAAGTTAAATTGGAAAATACTGTTTTGTGCTAAACCGTTGGCCAAATTTAAATTCAGTGACCAAAAATCTTTTACATTGTACTGTTTATCTGAGAAAAAACTTAAATTTTTTTTGAAGCCTTCTGATGGTTTGATGATAAAGATCTGTTTAAAAACAATGCGTAATTTAACAAACAAAAACCATGGTTTCATTGTGAATAAAATTTATTTGCGGATTTTCGAGATGATAATAGATTTATAATAATTAGCAAACTAGAGCTCCTAGCGCCCAAACTATGCAATTTTGGATAGAGATGAGTTGAGTTAATTAGTCATAATTTCAACCAAAGAATCTATGGCAGTAGTCCATTGAGCACGTCTTCCTGAGACACCTGGATATAACTTTATAAATGTCTGACAGTAACATACCAACCCACATTGGTTGACTATGGCCTAGTCACCCTAATTTAGTGGGTAGGCTCCGAGCCCCTCGGTGGGGACGTACAGTGAGCTGGTGATGATGATGATGATGATGAACATAGGAAAGAAAGGAAGGAAATTAAACACAATGATAATATGAAATTCAATATTATTTCGTTATGCTTTTTATGAATACAATATATTTGCATAGCGTACACTATCGACAGTATTGATGACCGATCATCGAACAATGAAATAATGACATCCATCAATTCGTTTAACATTCTTTTAATAAATAGCTGTATACAAAAACAATTATGTACAGAATAAGGCAGGACAATTACCAAGTAAAACGTGCCTCGTCTTATTTTAGCTATACAAGCAGTAAAAAATGGAAATTGAGTAAAGTTAAATGAATGTTTCTAAACAAAAATATACGCAATCGCTACAATCATCTTAGCTCCAGTCGATCGAAATTATCACTAACGAGTTAAATATTATAACAAGTAAGCACGATTAGTTTGTGAAGTTGTTACTTAACGGGATAACTTTAACTAAAGGTGAGGGAGCCCCCCCCCCCCGCAGGCGCCGACCTCGCGCTCCACAATACATTATATTCACAATGTGTTTTCTTATGCATACATTTCACCTTCAATGTCTGATTTATTAAAACAAATATGAAAAAAGAATAAACAAAAAAAGTAAAAAACACAACCTGATAAAGTAAAATTTAAAATAATTTGACTTTTGAGACACGATATTTCTTAATCTATATGGACTTAGGCCATGATTTAAGAAATAAATGAGCTTAGATCGCGAAGCGATTTACCTAACATGGTAAATAAAAATTTAACAATCAACTTCGCTTATCCTAAAATGAACGGCTGTGACGAACAAGAGATCCTAGAGTGAAGAAAACAGACAAAAATGCCCCCAAACAATCACAACACAAATTCAATAAAGTAAATGTCAAACGTTCCCGAAAACAGTTTAAAATGAACTATCTCACTTTGTCCCAAACTGGGAAAACTAATCACTATACACTTTGCAACTAATCAGGTCCAATTTTTGTCCGAAAGAAAAGTACTTTCTCAGACGAGAAATCTTAAAGTATTGTGATTCTTTGTAAAAAAATACATATATTTAGCCTCAGCTAGAAATCAAACTATGGCATGAGATTGCTATAGTTCAATCGCTAGGCTTAATTAAAAAACTAAAATTAATTATTCTGTCATGTATACATATCGATAAGATGTGATTTAATTTGTATACGAAGTAAACATTGGCGAATATCTTTTGTTTCGTTTAAAATGCAGTCAGAGTGCGCGGCGCCGCTCCCCGCGCGCCGCCCGCCCACTCGCACATTCTCACACATCCCTGACATTCGCGATCATACATCACCATCTATAAGGTTCCAGAACCATCGCGGCCAGTGGGGAGCGTGTCGTCAACGCGGGTCTCTTCCGAGGAGCGCGTCACGAGACCGGCCACTGGCAGTGTTGCCCTACGAAGCGTTGCCGAGGACCGAAGGCTTGACTCGAGTGCCGTCGGCGACTAGATTACTTTATTATAAAAAGCTTTTGTCTCGTAAAGCGTGCGCGCTGCGAGGGCTGCGAGGGCTGCGAGGGGCGCGGGCGGCGCGGACGGAGCGGCCTAGATGACGAGCGCCATGTCCTTCTTGCTGGGCAGCTGCACCTTCTTGCCCTGCCACAGCGAGTTGTGTATCGTGAAAGCGTCGATCGTCACCGTCAGGTGCTTCGTGTGCACCTGCGAGAAGCACTTGCTGCCCGAATTGTATCTGTAGGAACAATTAAATACATGTTACGATACACACTAACACTACAATAACCTAAATGTAGGTGAAATACAAACTTGAAGAACTTGTCGAACATCCTGTCGTTGACGTGCTTGGGGCCGGTGCCGTAGAGCTTGGCGACGAGCTCGGTGTCGGGGCAGTAGGAGTAGAGCGCGCGGAACTGGCAGCCGGCGTCGCGGAACAGCACCAGGAAGTGCTTGCTCTCGGAGCGCGCCACCTCCTCCAGCACGCGCCGCTTCGCCTCCGCGTTCACCGCGCCCGGGAACACGCAGTACTCCACCGCGTTCAGCATGATGCCGCGGTTGGACTTCGTCGTCGGCTGCTTGTACAGCTTCGGACCTGCGAGTACACACAATACTCTTATGGCCCGGCCTTACCTATCCTGTTTTCTGTCTGTACCGATTGTAATTTAACTACAAAACATCTTTGTGGTCTATTTGGAATATCTTTTGTGTTGTTTCAATTCTAATTTTGAGTGCTTTTAAAAACATCTCAGTGTATCAACTAAACATTTAATAATCTACTCAAAAGTGAATTAATATAATAACAAATGTGTCTAACAAAATAATATGTAAAATTACGTCAATTGTTTAACAACTAAAGTTACTTAATTCTACACATTTGTGGTACTGACAGATGATCGCATGATGTTAATGGTATTGCGATGTGTTAACAATAAAACAAAGTATCTGTGAGGAAGCGGATGTCGAAAGCCGGAGTCAAACGCAAACTGGTTAGCTGACAATCACAAAACCATGCCTTATAGTATACATCTAGTCAGTGGTGGTTGGCATGACATCGTTGCGGTCACGTGACGTGCGCGTGCGCATGACGTGCGCGTGTCGTGAGGACCTACGTAATTAACTAGGAAATTCAAAGAACCTTTACGTCGTTCCCGAGTGGATACTTCTAGAACAGAATGTACAAAAAGATCCTTAAAATAACTAGGAATAATAAATATATGTATGTATTAATCATATTTATTGTGTGCGTTTATTAAATGGTGGTTTTTAAGTCTTTTAGTTGATAAAGTACATGGAATACTCGTGTTTGTTTAAAAAATATATCTTAATTTTTATGAGAAAATGTAAAATAATGTTCGATCTAGCTCATTCAAAATAAATCGTACAAACATTTTTACTTCCAACAAGACATAGTACACAAAACAGTCTCTAAAAACGAACTACCTAGCTAACTATTTATAACAATATGATCTATAATTCCGTTACAACTGAACAGAATGTAACTTACCCGAGTAGTCCATGATGGAGGAGTGTGTGGAGGAGACGTCCGAGGCGTCGTCCGGCGGCGCGCGGCGGCGGCCGATGGCGGTGGGCGGCGCGGGCAGCGAGCCGGGGCCGGAGGCGGGGGAGCCCGCACCGCGCGCCCGCAGCGCGGGGGACGCAGCCCGCCGCGGCGGCGTCGCGCGACCCAGCCCCGAGTCTGGGAAACCTGCCGCGTTAACTCACCGCCCACACCTACCTCACGTCCCCTCTGCTCCTCTCTACTCTATGCATCTTGTCTATGCTGACAATCGCTGTCTTGTCTATGCCTACATCTTATTGTCTATGTACAATTGTTGTAAATATCGCCCATCACCAGTCCACTTTACGTGGCCTACGCATTGTTATGTTTGTTTCTAAGAACATTTCTATAGCATAGAAAATCGTCATTACTTTTTATTTTTAAATTCATCAAAAAGTTTCCAATGTTTTAGCACTATGTTTAATATATTTGTAATAGAAAATTATGCATATTAATAACATAAGGTGTACCCAGTTAATATTGTATGTTTGTAAATAAGTGGATTATACCAGAGACTAGCATAAAGTTAGAATTAGTAGAAGAAAGTTACATATTTACAAATTATCTACTGAAAATATTTACCTAAACTTTTTTATCTACATTACATTTCTTTTTTTATTTCTTTGTTACAATCATATCGAAAAAATAAAAGATTTTTATAATTACAATTTTCTAGTCGAGCAAAGCGACTACTAGCAGATAACGCAAAATAAATCTAAACTGGCGAACTGAACATAACAAGCTGTCAACTTTCTGCCACAGTATATACGAAACAGCAAAACAATTTCAATTATTTCAATATTTAAACTGACTTTGAAGCTACATAATCAATATCTTAAATAAATTTAAAAATAAATAAATATCCTTTACATTTCAACGAATCTACTTAACATAAAATATTTTAAAACTATAGTATAGTGAAAACTGAGTATATGCTGTTTACTAAAGAACAATAAAAACATGATTTCCTAAAAAAGGCATAAATATGTCTGTACTTAACAAAATTTTTAACATCTGACGCATAATTTAAAAAAAAACATTTCGTAAAGGATATTTCGTACTACATGTGCAAATACTTGTGTAAAACTTCGCGTTTACGGAATTTATTTACGTGTAACGATGCCACACCAACACCATAAACATAAATATACCATGCATATATAAAAAACCTTTTATATACCGCAACCTTAGATATAGATAACAAAATTGCCTGCAACCCAAAGTAACCAGATGTGCACAAGACAAGAAAGTTCGCTCTCGGGAAATCTTCCCTATTGAAACTAAGATAACTAAGTTTTGAGATAGTACTCGAGACTTCGAAATAATATTTTTTGAATCAACAACGTACTTACGTAGATTTAAAAACTTATATTAAAAAAATGCCTAACCTTTTTTTGTTGAACTATCAACAAGCAAGCTTTAATTAAAAAAAAAAGGTTTTTTGTTTGTTTTTTTTAGCCTTTTTTTAAGTATATAGGAAGTCCCCCCGAGAGCGCAGCAAAATAATGCGACGTAGGCAGCGAGGCGCGGCCGAGAGGCCGTACTGTGTCATACAAACTGTCTTACCGCACAAGTTCATAAGAGAGCTAGATTTCCTCCCCGCCTTAAAGTTACTCTGGTAAGTGGAATATTTAGACCTTCCACGTGCCGACTGAGCCTCGTCATTGACTCGCTCTGAAATGTTTCCTATAAATGTGAGCGCAGTCGCATGCAGCCAGCGAGGCGCCGCAAACAAAACCATACTATGCCGTTACTGCACAAGGCGTCCATTACAATAAGGGACCGAATGCACGGAAGGTCTAGGGAGGCAGTTCCAAAATTTCAATAAAGCGTAGAAAAACCATCCGATATTTGAAGTTGCAAACTACATATATGGCCAATAAAATAATAAAAGCATCTTTTTGTTTTAATTCTAAACCAATTATATGCATTGAAATACATAATATACCAATTGAAATAATAAATATAATTGAAGCGTCTACAAATAAAATCAAAGAAGCGCTCTATAGCGACTGCGGCGTCCGCTCTGTGCGACCGCACACAACACACACGTGAAATAAACATCAAATAAACCATAAATAAACCTTTTGTTCTTTACAAAAAGTTATAATATCATTATTGTAAAAATATGAATATTAAGAACCCATAAAGTAGCAAAATATCAACACATTTATTTAAAAAGATCAAATTTATTGAAATTTAGGTTCAAAATATTTAAAGGTCAACACACATTCAGCTAAGAAACTTGATTTTTTTATTAAACATCAAGTCTCTTAGTAACAATATCATTCTCCACTTCAATAGCAATTTTTGAAAGAATGTAATTATAACAATATCAATTTACATTATAAATTGCTATCGAGTGTAATATAAAAAGAGGGTAGACAGGCAAGCAAACAATGTGTTATTTTTGCATGTACTATAGACACAATACTTTCAGCTCTGTTCATCTTTTTTCAACCGCTTTAAATTTATCTAGAGCAATATACAAAATTTTACTTACGTAATCGTTATTCTAAAATCAAAGCCAAATAAATTGACAAGAATAAAAATAAAGATATATATTTCTAAACAACATGACGTTTACATTTAAAAATTAACTGACTTGTGTTTTGCATTCTTTAGCATTATTAAAAACTAGCTTTCGCCCGCGACGCCGTCTTCGTGGAATTAAAAAAAAACAAGAATGAGTAGCCTATGTGTTCTTCCAGACTGGCCTCTTTATACCAAACGATATAAAGACATTTATACCAAAATTATTCGAAATCCGTTCAGTCGTTTAGGCTACAAACTCTAACAAACATCCATCCATCCATCTAAACTTTCGCATTTATAATATTAGTATGAAGTATGATGAACAAATTCTTATTGTAACAAATGACAGAGCTGCAAGAACAGTGTCCAAGTGGTGAAGCGGGTGTTACCTCGCGAGGTCTTGCAGGAGCCGCGGCGGCCGAGCGCGCCGCTGGACGCGCTGCCCGGGGACACGCCGCCGCGCTCCTCCACTGGAGACTCTGGAAATGTTTTTATTTACGGTTACAAATACGTATATAAATATATATCAAATACTGTTGCTATGTACCTTTAACCTTTCACCACTTTTATTGGTAAAAAAAATGAGTTTAAAGTACGTCAGAATAAGAATTTCACAGTTATATTTACAAATGCCAGCAGTGTTTGGTACCTCTGTAGAGTCCAGCGCGCTCGGCGAGACTGTCCTGCGAGCCGCGGTAGTAGTCGCGCCGCATCGTGCCGCCCGCTGCACGCACACGCACCACACACGCATGCGCACACATAGGGAACGGGGGAAAAGCACATTTAATTTAGGCTATTAATTTGTTATTTATACACACAACAATAAAACAAGTAAGTTATGAATCAAAATATAGTAAAGATCGTACCGGAGAGGTTGGTGGCGGAGGGCTGCTTGGCCAGCATGCCCTCTGCGGCGTGCAGCGCGCCGGAGTCCACGTGAATGGTCTTGGGGCGCGCGCGCGCCGCCTTGCCGCGCAGCCGCGCCCCGCCCACACCGCCCACACCGCCCACACCGCCCGGAGACTGCCCGCCCTTCAGCGTGTCCATGAACTCGCTCTTGTCTAGCACTTTACCCTACAACAGAACAATGGAAACCATTAATAACAAAAATATGTCTATTGAACAGATTCCAGTTGTGTCAATGATATCACGCTTACCTCCCGCTCGGCCTCCTCGATGGCCTTCTTGAGCTTGTATTGCTGCAGGATGGCCTCGCGACGGCGCGCCTGCTCCTCCTTGCGCGCCAACTTCTGCTCCTGCGCGGCGTCCTCGCGCGCGCGCCGCGCCGCTGCCGCCGCCTCCGCCCGCGCGCGCGCCTCGTCCGCGCGCTGCCGCCGCTGCAGCGACAGCAGCATTATGCGCTCCTTCTTGCGCTCCATCTCCTCCGCAGAGTTCTGAAACACAAACAGATGACATGTAACATCCGGCTGCAAGCGGTGTAGACCCTCGGCTATGTATCAATATGTACGCACGGGGTCGGGGTTGAGCTCGCCGATGAGCAGCGCGGCGGGCTCCGCGGCGGCGACGCGCTGCGGGCGCTCTCTAGGCGGCGTTTCCATTCGCTGCGAAACGTCGCTAGCGGCGCCCGCCCTCCTGTGCGCGGCGGCCGGGGGCGCGGGCGGGGGCTGCGCGAGCTCCTCGCGCTCGTCCCACGTGTCCTCGGGGCTGCGGTCGGGGCTGGGCTCCGCGGCGGAGCGCTCCTTGCGCGGCGAGCCCCGCTTCGCGCGCAGCGGCGGCTTCGGTCGCTTCGGCTGCTCGTTGTCGAACGATATGTAGAAGCCTTTCTCGTTTTGTTCGCTCTCCTCCTGCTCCATGTGCTGGAAGGAGTTCCTGTTGAGCGAGGGCCGCGTGGGGGACGGTATGCGGTAGGTGCGCGTGCCCGACGATATGTTCAGTCTGTTTATCCCCTGGCGCAGCGCGTCGTCCTCCGCGTTGCCGATGAACGATATGTTCTGCGGCTCCATGTCGTCGGGCGGCTGCACGGGCAGGGCTGCGGGGTGGGGCGCGGGGTGCGGCGCGGGGTGGGGCGCGGCCGCCTGCAGCTGCTGCAGGCTGACGGGCTCGGGCCTGCGGGAAACCTCTGGCAGGGAGCCCTGGCGCTGCGGGGTGTGCGCGCGGCGTTGCGGGCTGTGCGCGGGCGGGGGCGACTGGGACACGTAGTGGCTGGGGTTTATCACAGTATAGCTTAAATGGTTTTGAGTTTCTCGAATGTTCTCGGTGCCGTTCTGGTACCGGTCGTTGTTGTAGTGCACGGGGAAGGGCTGGCCGCCGCGGTCGTGCAGCAGGAAGCCCTGCGGCTGCCAGGTGCGCTCGCTCGGCGGCTGCGGGGAGGGCGACCGCCACGTGCGCTGCGACGCCTCCTGCGCCCCGAACTGCTGCTGAAGCGGCTGCTGCTGATGAAGCTGGAATTTCAATTCGCTTGTGAGCAATATAGTTCCTGCAAGTTAATTGTATTAACAAGTGGATAATAAAATGTCAATGTGCAAAGTGTGGTCGGAATACCTGCCAGCCGCGCAGCTCGGTGTTGTCGTGGTGCGCGTGCTGTGCGTGGTGCGCGTGCTGCGCCCAGGTGCGGCGCGGGGCCTGCGCGGGCGGTTGCTGCGGGTGCTGCGGGTGCTGCGGGGGCTGCGCGGGGGAGTCGTGCAGGTAGAACTGCGGCGGGTCGTCGTGGTCGAGTGCGTAGATGTCCCGCGCGATGTGCGGGGAGGAGCCGAAGCCGTGCGCGTGCGCGGCGCGCGACACGTTGTGCGCGGAGCTGAACTGGCTGTGCTGTAAGACCGCGACTGTCAGTGCACACGGCGCAGTGCAATACCACATGCGAGCAAGTACTTACACTGCTGTTCAAATTTAGTGCTTTAGATTTACCTGGTTGGGGTTAAAGCGAGGCAAAAATTTAACAAGAAGCATTCTCTAATCTTAATTTGTTTGTATATTCTTCATTGCGTATAATTTTTGGCATTATCAACCAATTTTGTCTTGGTCAAAATAGAACTTAAACATGACATAAGTTCTTTTGCATACGTGTGTATTTTTTCTCATTCACTCACCAATTGTGGAATGTTTTGTTGGAACTGTTGCTGGAAGGGTGACTGTGGGGGCTGCGACTGCTGGAACAGCTGCTTTGCTTGCTGCTGGTGCAGCTGAAGCTGTTGCTGTAGATGTTGTTGCTGCTGCTGCAACTGCTGTTGCTGCTGTTGTTGCAGTTGCTGCTGTTGCTGCTGCAGCTGTTGCTGTTGCTGCTGCTGGTGCTGCTGTTGCTGTTGCTGCTGCAGCTGGCTCTGCTGGCTGGCGAGCCGCGCGATATCACTCTGTATGTCTTGCAGGCTAGAGTTCATTCTGTAATGGTTAGATTCTTATTGTGGCGATTGTTTTGCACCGGATTGATTGTTTTATCGGATGTTATAGCGTTTTAAATGGTTGTTACATTCCTGCCTCGTACAATATAACCTCGCAACAGTTAGAATGTTTTGAAACTATAAACTTTTTGATAAACTGGTTCAACATTATAGTATCTTACTTGGCTATCGACTGCTGGTACTGCTCGAGGGCCACATTCTCAGCTGCCTGTGCCGGAGGCTCCACCGCCATGTCCTGTAGTAACGACATTCAAATGATAACTTGCTTGAAGTATAGAACATTAGGCAAATTGCTGCGATTTTATTTTACGTCAATTTAAGTGATAATTTCTTGTATGTAAAGAAATGTTCAATATCATGATGGTAAAATTGACATGGATTGGATGGTTTTAGTTCTCGTAAACGAATACAATTTAATAAAAATTAACACAATAAACAAAAATACAACAGGACATTATAACCATGTTCAAACATGCATTTAAAAACACAAATACATGCACATACAACATTTATTATTATAATTTTGGACAAAAATCACATGCCTATTATTGCTGATCTAATACGGTCATTTTTTTATCTATACAACTGATATGACACTTCTAATGCCCAGCTTACACTTAGCTCGTACAGTAGCGCTCGAAGACTTGACTGGCATTCAATTGCCATAATGTGATCATTTACTAACGCTAGATACACAATACTAGCCAAGTGTTAACCATACATTACGCCCGGTTCACACTTGGCCAATACAGTTGGACAGTCGCGGCAAGCGATACTCATTGGCGCCTGTTAGCGTTCACACTGTGCCAGTTAATTGACGCTCCAATCAGAGCGCTACTAACTTTACTGTCCAAGTGTAAACCGCGCATTAAAAATACTGTTGTCAACACGCATGTGACGTCAGTGTACAGCGTACATTGAAAGCGTCAGTATGTGTTTACCTGCGAGCCGTGGTGGTCGTCGTCGCCGTCGTGGTCGTTGGGCGTGCGCGCCGCCTTGCCCTGCAACACGCCCGCGCACCTCCACCGTAACAAACATGACGCGTACGGAGCGCACGCGCACGCGCGCAGCCAGCCGCGCACGCGCGTGCGCACGCCCCGCACGCCCGTGCTCTGTGCGCGCACGCAACGTACGTGTGCCGCCAAACATGCTATTAGTGTATTATGTTACAGACGCGAGTGTCTCTAGCTACGAGCGGTCATTAATTATATTTTTTTTTATTTAAATAAGCATTTTACCAGTAATATTGCCAGCTATTTGTTGAAAGCAGCAATTAATATAGCATTGCTTGTATAGGCTTGTTTTAATTGTAAGCCGATGGTATAAAAATTAATAACCACTCAAGCTATTAACGTAGTGCCGCGGGTGAATCTAAATGTCGCGAGTGAATATTTTACGTACGAATATTTACGGTTGCAATGAGTGTTAAAGTTAGCGTTTTTAAATTAAAAAGGAAAGTTGAAAATATGTAAAAAATAAACCGCTGTTTGTTTGCGTTTGTTACTTTAGGGATTAACGAAAGAATATTACAAATGATTTTCACGAGTAGAAAATTTTGAAAACGATATAAAAATAATTCATGCTAATAATAAAACTATAACGTGAATAATAATTACAATAAATGGTCTAATTAAATTTTGATATGCCAATGATATGAATAACTAAACGTCTCTTAAATGTTAAATGTATTTTAAAATTAAGCTATCTTCAAATTTACATTGGTGAAAAAATATAGTGTTTGAATCTATATCCTACATAATTTAAGCGTAACATACGTCTGCATATGCATGTCAAATATGATTTTACATGACATTGAGACCACGTGAAAAATAATTATTTGTAATTGGTATTCTAAATACTTCGATGAAAGCTGTGTAAGCAACTTTGGTCGATAATAATTAAAATTTTACGTAAAAAAAAATAATCTGTAATGAGCTATTGCGACTAAAATCCGATATATCCTGTTCCGGCCACTCACCAAGGAGGCCAACTGGTATTGCAAATACGCATCCTATTGAATAAAAAAAATATATTTTACGTTATGCGACAAATATGTTTAAGTGGAAGTTAGTTACAGTTTTACCCACTTTTATAAAAGTATTACTAATATTATTAATGTGAAAGTTTGGATGGATGGATGTTTGTTAGTCTTTGTAGTATAATTGGCTAAACGGATTTCCAAAAAATTTGGGATGGATTTAGAGGATAATCTGGAAGAATACATAGGGTACTTAGTTTTATTTATTTTAATTCCACGCGAAAGGAGTCGCGGGCGAAAGCTAGTAATTTAAATCACTTTTAATTCTTTTATAAAAGTAGGTTATGTATGTAATTTGTTAAAGTGCAGAGGTTACTTAACAAACTTAAATTTGCAATTTAAATAGAAACAACGTTTAAAAATATATCATAAAACTACTAAACCTATAACCCAAAAACATACACACAAATACATACCACAATAAATAAACAAAATAAAGGCAAAACAAATAATTTAATACTGCACAATACCACAAAGTACAATTTATGCCCTGTATACCCTTCGACAAAATACAATATGCTAACTACGACACACACAATCCACGCTTGCCAAATGTACTTATCAATTAATACATTTTATATTGAAGTTGGTGTTTACACTAATATATTTCTATTGACATTTGTTCATGAGAGTGTAATTACGTGTACGTTTGTTTAAAAACGTGTATACGCACGTAATACATTAAAACGCTATAACGTTCCAAAATAAATCTGTAGACAATACATACGATTGCTGCCGTGTCAGTGAAGTGTTAATAAAATATGTCATTTCTATTGGATTTGTCCTTATGTTCGTGAACATTGTTGTACGTACGTGTACATTGGTGTACTTTAGTGTACGTACGTGTACATTGGTGTACTTTAGTGTACGTAGGTGTACATTGGTGTACTTAAGTGTACGTTGGTGGACACGTGTGTATATGTTAGTGTACGTACATGTAGGTGTAAGTGTCTGTGCGGTCGCGTACGTACCCTGGTGACGGCCTGCAGGAAGGCCTGCTGGCCGAGCTGCTGGCTGCGGCGGGTGACGGCCACCTCCATGCGGCGCTTCTCCAGCTCGATGCGGCGCCGCTTCTCCTCCAGCTTCAGCCGGATGTTGTTGAGTTGCGCCGCCATCGCCTGCCCGCCGCCGGGAGAACCACCCTCCGCCTCCTCCGCACCCTCCGCCTCGTCCCCGTCTGCAAAGTACCAACACATTGACATTATACATCCTCCTCCCAAACACGGGAACATCTGTTGACCAATATGGCCATATAAGACAAAAAACTTTAAAAGTAAAAAAAACTTTAACAGAAGCGAAAATAGAGTATGTGGTCAGTATACCAATGAGGTCCATAAGCATTTATGATATACCCAACATTTGCAAACACAATTAATGGACATAGTATTGCATAAAGGTACAATGGATGTTTTTACACCAAATGAGCAAGACACAAGTGAGAACTGACTGGGCTGGTGCTCCTGCTGCATGAAGTGCTGCTGCCAGGTGGTGGTGTTGGGTGGAGGCGTGGAGAAGGTGGTCGTCTTGCGGCGCTCCGGCTCACCCTCACCCTTCATCTTCACCAGCCCTGTTACCACAACCCACGAGTTAAACACCATAGGAGAATAAGAAAGTTAGTGGATGAAACTGCGACTGATGAAAACGATAATTCATTTTCTTATAGAAATATGTGATCATAGAAAGGACAAGGACAAAGCGCATTTGTTATCTATATAAGCGAGTAGACATTGAAATATTCCAAAGCAATAACGAATTAAAATTAGACTGGACATTAATGTATTTAATAGAGATTCTGTGGAGTTCATATTAAAACCGTTAAATATCTCTTAAAAATTACCATCACCAGAACCAATCACACAAACCTTGTTGATCACCATTGCTTCTAATCTTGTTGAGGTCTGCAAAGCTTGTTTTCGTTCCATCCCCGTCAGTGGAATCCCTATCATTAAGGTAGTAGCCGTCCCCTCCTCCTTTGTAACTCATGCCGTGGCTCTGATTGTGTGTGATGGTGTCAGTGCTGAGTTGTCTTCTCATGGGGTAGTACTGCTCTGTGGTCTGCGAGTGCTGCCGCTCCATCTTACTTCGCTCCTCTTGACCATTCTGATAGTCTTCATGGAAGAACTGTATGGAACCTCGGATGTCTTGTCTAGACGACCGTAGCGGGGGATTGTAGTCTATAGGACCTGGAATTTAAGGAAACGTTGTAACGTCGAGAAATATAATCCCGTCAAATGTGTAAAATAATCATCATCACCATCATCACCAGCTCACTATACGTCCCCACCAAGGGGCTCGGAGCCTATTTTAAGTAAGGGGTGACTAGGCCATAGTCAACCACGCTGGCCAAGTGCGGGTTGGTTGACTTCACACATATCTTTGAATTTCTTCGCCGATATGTGCAGGTTGCATCACGATGTTTTCCTTCACCGTAAGAACGTCGGGTAAATTATGTACATATGAAAATTCGAAAAATCGAAAATCACATTGGTACATGGCGGCGGGATTCGAACCCAAGACCTGTAGATTACAAGTCAAGTGCTTAAACCACTGAGCCACCGACACTCATGTAAAATAATAATTTGATTATAATCACTTAAATATTAATCTGTTTTTAAGAATATTTTCATGGCAAAAAGAAATTTAAAGATAAATTTAACCGAAACACCAAGATCCTAACCGTTCGGGGAACGGACTCTAGATCTTGCGGTTAAGTTTAAATCCCGGCATTCGATTATTGTCGTGAACCATATCTTAGCAGAAGCCTAGGAGTTAGTTGGTGTGGTTAAAGGAAACATTAGTGAATTAACAAAAATCTAATACTTTTGTTTAAAGAATTCAGTTCTATGGCTGATACAAAAATATTAAAAATCCTTTATAAAACAACTATGGTGACAATAAAGTTACCGGCGGGCGCGGATATTTTCCGCTGGTGCGTCATAGCGGGCGCGCTGGTGACTGTGGCGAGCTCCTTCTCCGGGTTGCGGCCGGCGAAGTGCAGGCGGTCCTGCGAGCCGCCGAAGTTCTCCACCGTCAGCTGGCTGTCGTCAGAGATGGAGGAGCGCCGCGAGCGCCGCCCCGCGAACGACTCGCGCGGGCCTCGCGACGACGGCCGCCCCGCCGCCACGCCCGCGTACTGACCGAACGCTGTGTACAATAAAAAAATGTATAAAGTAATTGTTTTATTAAAACCTACTTTCAGAAACTCACAATATTCTTACTTTAACAGGTTTTAATGGGTAGGTAGCACTAAAGTACAACATTAACTATAGGTAAAGACTGTCTAAAATTACTATAGTAGTATGCACTATTATACTAATATAAAAAGTGTAAACACGCATTACTTCGTGGAGTAGAATGTGAACAATCACAGAATATTTTTGAATTAATCTTTCTTTAATAAAAAACCCTACACTTACGATACGCCGATACGATTTATTGTCACGCTATTAAACTGAGGGCTAAACAAATTGGAAAAAACCTTCATATAGAAAACGGATCATAAATAAACTAGCTAACAACATCAAGGAAGCAAGGTTGCCATAGTAACGGTAATTATTATCCAATGTCTAAAACCTCCGTTGTCATTTATGCATTAGAATTTTGACAATTGTAATTGAGAATTTGACAAATGTAAACAAATTAAAGCTTTTATAATTTCATGCAGAAGAAAGCGGAATCAGCTTGTATGTAGACAAAGAAAGAAAATCGTAATTAAAGTTATTTAGAATGAGACAGTATTAGAATGGAGTAGCCTTTTTCTTATAATTACCGTGTTCCTCTTCACGTCGTACGAGTGCTGATAGCGTGGTGATAGCGCGGCCCCTGTGCACCACGAACTCCTCGCGCTGCGGGCTCATGCTGCGCCGCTCGGGCGTCGAGCACGCGGAGCGGCCCGCCGCGCGGCCCCGCACGCCGCTCGCTGACGGCGACCGCGACACTGCAAATACAACCTTATTGCCTTAAAATAACGTTCACAATTCAATTACTGTACCAAGTGACAATAATTATAGTAATTTAATGGATTCATTTCGTAAAGAATATGTTGCATTTATTTTGTAACATTATTAGTGCTCTATTACTTCATTTTCAAACTGAATATAAATTTGCAGTGAAGATTTGCGGCGAACACAAGTGCCATTTTAACCAAATTCAACGGCGTTTGGAAATGCGTTTTTCTAATGAGAAAATGTAACTTTTGAGCAACTTAAGCGTGTATACTTCGTTTAGAAACACGTTAACTAGCGAAATGCTTGATGTGATACTCCGATTTTGTGTTGTAAAACCATGTAATAAAAACGTGCGCTAAAGCATATTCCGCGGCACTGTAAACTCAACTCTAGCAACAACTGCATAAGAATCAATATTCAATATTAAATCGAAATGAAACTACTACATGTTCAGTAAGTATAGATATGTACTTTTGTCATGAAGAAGAGTATAAAACTGTTTTCTACTATTACTTTTATAAAAATGTACTATTATCGTCTAAATACGAATAAGGAGATACTAAAATATTCTATTGGATCTTGTATTCTATGTCATGATAATTAAAAAATATGAAAACATGGTAGCAATTCACTCTTAAAAGAACATTAAAAAAGGTATGGTCACACTATATTAAAAGTATGAATCAAAATTCTATCATGAAGTCGCACGAAGTCTAAAATGAAATGACATTTAAGCGTAATGGACAAAATTATTGACATTAAAACAATTAATTCACAAATTCCTGGGAGTCCTGAGGGCATAATTTCAGAACTCCTAAATACATCATTTGTTGAGAAAATAAATATAACTCAAGAAAGCCGTTACATGCACAGCGTAGATCAGTGAAGCGTTAATGTGAAGAATAAGCAAAGCTCAGTCGAATTCGTGTCAATGTTACTGATATTAATGCGTAGGAAAAGTAAAATGTCGACGCTAATCGGCTAATTTTAAACAGAAAGCATATGATTAAACATACAAACAAACCCTTGGGGAGACAACTGACCTGTGATATCATTCGTTGAGAGACAACCATTTGTATTTATTGGCGATTATTTCAATTTATTAACAAAAAAAATAATTGTAAATTTAAAATTTCCTTGAAATAAACTATTATTTTCAGAATATCCAATTACATATATTTTTAATGTTAAAAAATATATAGATTGTTGATATTGAAAACTGTTTTTAACAAGGTTGTGAGTTGTCTTGCACAGTTGTGGTAGTGGGACACACAGGGCACAGAGCACAGAGCACGAGGCCGGGTACCTGGCAGGGGCGTGTTGGCGGCGTGGGCGTGCGCGTGGGCGTCCGCGCGCAGGTCCGGGATGGGCGTCGGCGGCGGCGGCGGCAGGCAGCGCTTGTGACGCACGCCGTGCGCGTTGGAGTCCGCGCGCGCTGCGGACACGCGCACACGCACGCTCAGCCGCACGCACGCACGCACGCACGAGCGTACGCACGTGCGGTGAACGCCGACACGCAGTCACCCTGCCTTCACTTACCCACGCGACGCCCGCACACGCACGGCGGTATTCAGACCAGACTTCCGACTCGAGTAACTAGCGACTGAATGTTAGATGTCGAAGCGCATACCGATCAATGAATACAATTTAGAAAGTATGGACAACTCGTCAGTGCACTAGTCTATACCAAACTTTTAATTTTGTACTTAGCTATTATACAAATATATTACCAACATCAATATTAATGTGAATGAATTATCAAAGTGATTAGGTATTTTTGAAAAAGACAGGGTGACCTGATACAGAATGAGAACGGTATTCAGCAAAGCGACATTCTTACGTCATTCGTAATATGTTAAAGGGACTTACCTCTGACCAATTTCTTAACTTAATACAAAGATAACAAAGTAATAATTATTCTTTAAAGTATTTACTGCAAATAAAAGTATTGCGTCCATTCAAAACCTTCCTATAAAAATCAATGATATACCACAAAGCCCGTATTTGCCTAATGTGTACATCTGCGTTACAAAAAGCGTTTTGGACCACCCCACGATTATTTTACTTTTATTTATAAAGGTATATAAACAAAATTAGTGGGCATAGGACCTTTGATATTATGACCACATACTCCCATTAGAGTTCTAGTGCATGCAACATCAGTAGATAAAATGTTATGTTAGGGACATCCAGTACAAGTCATTACTTACCTATACCAGGATATTTGACTGACTTCACAGGATGCACTTCTAGCAAGTTGAACAGATCAGCGAGCATTGCTACTAAGTTTTGGCGCATTGATCTGAAAATAAGAAAAATTTCACGAAATCAAAAAGATTTTTAAGTATCAATGAGTTCGTCTGCTTTTATCAGTGTGCTGTCAGTTGGAATAGCAAGATAACTCACCCGCGCATATATGCAACGTCTTCAGGCATCATGTGAAAGACGTTGTGTGGGAGACGTTCGCGGCAGAAGTCGCGCACCAGCATGAGGTTTTGCAGACAGTCGTGTATGGAGGCCATGCGGCCCACGCGCACCGCCGACCGCGGCAGCGCCTCCGGGCAGTAGAACGACACCAGTGCAGCCAGCGCCGCGCCATCGCACGCCTCCTGCAGCGACCGCAGAGGGGGCACTTGACTTGATGATTCATCCTGGAACAAACATTACAAAAGAACATCAAAACTTTGTCTAATATCTGATTTTGAAATTATAAAAAACTAATAGGTCAACAAATTGTCATTGACGTCTGTATTCCCGCTGCTCGTTTGCCCCGTTTTCTTATTAAAAAAATGCAATAACAAATAACTAAACATTTGAATCAGTTACAACCTTTGTGACTATTAAACAAGATACGCCAGCTACATCTATAGTTCATGAAGCTCACCTCAGCATTGTTAAGCGCTGCGCAGGCCGCATTGATCCATGTTAGCAGACCGTCTTCGTGGCTGGTGATAGCCGACTGCTGGGAGAGACCGAACCTCTGCACTGCAGCCGCCACCCGGTCACTGGTCACCACCTCCCGCGCGTACAGCACCATTAGAGCTTCCATGACACACATATGCGCACTCTGGAATATACAATGTAGACCTTCTTTACATGAGTTTAAAAGGCATTATCGAACAACTGGTTGTCTATTCAAACTGACGCCAATACATAGATATGACATAGTAAACCGATTTCTCCTTATACTTCTAATGCAAAAGAAAACATCCTTAGACTTAAGGCTCTTGTATAGTATTTTTTTGTTCTATTAAGCAACTTTGAAAGGCGCGACATTTAATTTCATTCCAGATCATAAAGATGGATTGATTCAAACGGTACAGCTTTACGCTCGCCTTATAAGGCTCTGCCCACACTAGTTAGTTCGATTTACATAAACAAATGTAGAGTAACCTGTGGATTATTAAATTATTAAAATGTTGGGGGCGAACATCGCAAGATTTGTTTGAAAGTAATTGCTTAAAAATTATATTCGATAAATTTTGCAGTAACCAATCGTAGCAATAGAACAGTTTGCTAAAAACAAAATTACAAGGGTTAGTTTAAAATAAATAAAATTCTGAGCTAAGCATATATTTTATTTAGTACACGCCTTTATCGGGAATTATTGAACGGGATTGTTAAATAAATAGGGATATCCTCGTTACCGGCGACTGAGGAAATTACAAAATAAAATCGATGTACATACTTTTAAACAAAACTCTAATAAAAATAGCCTTCTGTTTAATAGTGTATTTAATTTAACAAATTACAAATAAAGACTCCAAGAACTTTTAATTATTAATTCATAACCGAAATAATTTGACAGAAAATTAATTGTTTTCAGATATCGTAACACTCTTTAAAACACAAATACAAAGTCCATTATGCAGAAGTGTATATCAAAGAAATGGCCAATAGTCAAATAGAGATTTTACACTCTAACATAACATACCACGCTAAGTGGTTCCGCCTTCGAATTGGTCGTAAACTATAAGTACTGTAGTTTTCTTTATTCTCAGTTTTATAACAAAAAGTCCATTATACAAGCGATATATAAAATAAATATTCTAATCTAGGTAAAAAGTTCTAAAACATAAGCCAGCCGGGGGCGAGTTAACGAGGAGGTAGAAATGTCTCTTATTATGGTTTTCTGCCCACTGCGATAGTCCACCTAGTTTTAATGTTATTACAACGTGGGAGGCGCCTGTACTCTAATATAGAATTGCTTGAGCAAAAATTCAATAAATCCTAAATTAATCCAGGTTGAATTTCTAGTTTTTTGTTGATAACATGCCTTTCTGATCGTAAATATGCTGCATGTAATCTATAAAATGTTGTTTACAATGGTTGATCTAGTAAATAAACATTCATCATCCAAAAAAAATAGCAAAGTAAGATATTCAAAGATTATTATACTATTTTAATCTAGCTCAACGTAATAATAGCTAAAGCATATAATAAAATTGGAGTGTCTCTAATATTAAAAGAAAAATTCCAGATTTCGGGAAGATGATGTATTTGTTTTGCTGATAACGAAAATCAGATTAAAAAAATTTTGTCTGTCTGTCGACAGCATTGTTTGTTTATGGCAATTTCCGAAACGGCTGGGCCGATTTTGACCGGACTTTCATTGAAGGGTAACTGACATAGACGAGCATATCATAGGCTACTTTATTTAAAATTCCGCGCTGTCAAAATGGCGCACCGGATGATCCAAATTTGCGGGCGACAACTCGTTTTTTATATAATTCCTATTACTGTTTTATTTAATAACATAGGGAAATAAAACAAGAAGGTACAATTATTAGACACATAAATAACTCACCATTTTCAAAGGGTTGGTCTGTATTAGGACGGTCTCTGTGAGTGCGCAGTCGGCAGGGTCTGACACGGGCACGCCTTTCCTCGCCAGCGTCTGCAGGATGTTCCAATGGCTGAGGCTGTGGTAGTTAGGGTCCGAGTACATGTTGGCGAGCGCCAAGCAGTACAGCTCCGCGTTCGCCAGACCCCCAACTATAGGCGGCTTAAGGTGCTCCTGATCCTAGAACGGAAATATTAAAAACTTAGATATACAAAGTAATTAAAGTTTTATTAAGATCTGATTATATTTTAATTGTGATCTGATATCATTTATGTTTAAACTTTTATTGCTTGCCCACAAAATTTTAATAATGTCTAAGAGAAGTATTATCAACTAGCTTTCGCCCGCGACTCCATCCGCGTGAAATAGAAAAAAAACAGAAGTGAGTAGCTTGTGTTATTTCACACGAGCTGTTGCCCGCGACTTCGTCCGCCTGGTATTAGAAAACATACAAACTATATAAATTACAAAAAGTTACGTATCCCTCGGGAACCGGACATTTCTCGGGGATGAAGCTTATCCCATGTGTACTCCAGACTTTATTTTATATCTGTGTCAAATTTCAATACGATATGTTGAACCGTTGCAGAATGATCGAGTAAACATTAAAAAACTAAATTAATGAATCCCACGGGAACCGTAACTATTCCCGGGATAAAAAGTAGCCTATGTGTTCTTCCAGAATATGCTCTAAACCTGTGCCAAATTTCATAGAGATCCGTTCAGCCGTTTAGGCTACAAACGCTAACAAACAAACATCCATCCATCCATCCATCTAAACTTTCGCATTTATAATATTAGTAAGATAAGATTATCCGCTATATATATGCCAAAATTTCAACGAGATCCGTTCAGCCGTACACACTAACAAACATCCATCGATCCATTCATCCATCTAAACTTTCGCATTTATAATATTAGTAAGAAGTATGAAGTATGATTGTTTGTTGCTCTACGTGGACCAGCCGACATAATATGAAGTCATTCCTCGAATAATCATACAAATTCGCTTATGTATCTGCATGTAAAAACATTTTTTTTTTTCATTTAATCGTGTAAGTACAGTAGGAGTGACAAAGATTGCGTCACTGAGGTATGAAGGTGCGTGCTCGCGGCCTAGGGCGTGGCGAGTGGCGACGTTACATCACTTGTTAAACAAACCTCGACTCTTGTAACAGTTAACACCACGTGGACATGTTGTCCTGGTACTGAGCCTAGAGACTTTGCATAGCCTCATTTCATACTGATAGTTCGTAGTAATCGTCAAGTGGTGCATACTTATTTATATGTGAAGCAAATATCGATAAGAACAGATGGTTAATGTCTTGAGTAGACGGTGTGAATGTAAAACTGATGGTTGTTGAAATACGTATTCATTATAAGAACGGTAAAGATTTTAATTATCCATAAATATTAATTTTCTTAAAATAAGAAGTCAACAATCTTAACTATGTTATTATATATTTTTATGAAATTTACATTTCTATTGTAGACTTAATTTCTCGTATCAGTCTAAACATACCAGACGTATAAACTATTATGGGATAAATTAGCGCTGCGGTTACAGTGGTCGCGCCAAAACCAGATCAATAAGTCGAATGGTGTTGTTTTGCTTCCAACTTGTACATATACTTGTTACTACTACGTATATATTGTAAGTTATTACTGATACTTGATAATACAGAACTTTACTGTATAAAACACTGGCTTTTGCCGGCGATACCGTCCGCGTGTAATTTAAAAATAATAATAAAGAAATGAAAAAATATAGCCTATGTTACCCACAGATAACAAATTACCTTTCTAACTTTGTAAGAATTTTTAAAATCGGCCCAGTAGTTTTTGAGCCTATTCATTACAATCAAACAAATAAAGTTTTCCTTTTTATAACATTAGTATATTTTTATTTGATTTGTAAAAGACAGCAGCCATGCTGATGGCATATTATCTCATTCTATGCAGGAGGTCAATTGTCGTGTATTATGGACAACAAGCATTATGTAAAAACACAGCGTGGGTATAAAGGAACACAAGTACACTGTGACACCACTTGTCTTACATTTGCGTAAACGTGTCCGTCGCTTTTGTTCAAATATTTGCAAATGTCGGCCTGGATTCCTCACTTAGAAATACGAGTAATGTAAGTTCCAAGAGTTGCTGCCAGTGGCAGAAAAGAATTTTATTTTACGATATTAACCAATGAAACTAATAGATCGATAGAAAAATCTTTCTATTGGTAAAGAACAAAAATCCACTCGGCTACACGGGGACTGGTCGCTAGGCCATTTAACGTACGTCAAAGGCCTAGATAGGTTTCATTTTTGTTTTAATATTAGGTAAGACGTGAAAGCCTAACCAACATCCGTAATCAATAAAAGTCATTAAAGCCAATTTCAAACCAATATTTATATAGATTGGTTGTAAGTTACGTCACAACGGGAGAATATTTTTGCAGTCACACTTGTTACAAAGATTTTTGCTCTGAATGTTATTATTAGACTATTTTAATCTCGATTTTCAGTAGATGAATTCCACTAAATAAAATAAAATAAAAAACAAAGTAATGTTTAATCCTTATCAACACTACAATTATGAATCAAAAAAGTAATGAAACACAAAATAATGAAAAACTTAGCCAAAGAAATGAAAAAAAAAAATAGCTTTGCAATGCTGACTGAATTGGGTCCTCGCTCAGCTATAATGCTGGATGCTCCTTATTGAAGTACCAGCGCTGATCTTCCACGAGAATCCTTTTGACCATCTACACGTCAGTAGTAGCGGTGGATAGGCAGAAATTATCACATACACTAGATAGCTAACCGTTAGATACGCTCTCGGGTATCTCGAAATCTGCAATACAATGCCGACAAACAATACAACTGATTATATAGCTAAACTAAGCCTGTTTAATACTTACACTGAGAATTATCATACAAATTGGTCACATATATAAAAGACCCCAAAATAAAGTGTTAGTCGGCGGCTTGTAAACAATAAACAGGTTTGTCTCGCCCATTATGACATTATATTAACATCTCATTGACCATGAAGTGTTAAACAAGACTAAACGATGATATATGATTAGGGTGACCATTTTTATAGCAAAACAATATCTCTAAAAAGGGTTTCTTTACGATATACTTAGTTACTATGTAAATATATCAATGTCGTTGACCAAACACATCCCTTTATGATATCATAGCGACTTTATTACTAGGAATGTCTAAACTGATAACTGGTGAAATCTATTCAGAGTTAACATGTAGTTTTGTAATCTTATCTCTTATTGCAATATTAATCACATTCCAAATATTTCCTTGATAATGAATGCAGTAATCATTTCTTTCATCAGCGTTATTCAGCAAAGTCAGTAATACCTTTTTAGACAAAATAACTTTGCGCTCCTTTTAAAAGACATGCAGATTTTTTGGCGATGTATTGAAATACTTTCACATAGCCTTTAATTATTTAATTTGAAATTATAGCGATGTAACATTAAGTATACCAACAAGATTTTAAAAAATGACACTTTTTTTACATTATGCCCATAAAAGATATAGTTATAGTACCGATTATAAGAAGCTTGGTCACCCTACATACAGCCCACTTTATTCGACACACGGCCTCATAGTCACTCTCACTTTTAATCTGGAACAATTGGTCGGCATCGGTCGCGTTGTCAAATTTACGCAACCGCCTGTTAAAGCGTGAATGTATTTTGGTGAAAAGTTATCAAATTTCATAAATGACGGCCTTCTTAGGTCAATGACCTCGCATATATTAACTGGACGTGTGTCAAGTTGTAACGGAAATTAGAACGATCGTTTGCAGCTGTATCACGGCACGGTATTATTATTTTTACAAGCCTACTTTAATAAGTACTCAGCTCTCTACTTGGATAAAACTTTTTAATTCTGTAAACCAATGCTTTAAACCCAACGTGTTCTTGGCGATTAGGTCATAAGTGACAAAGCCACCAGTATGTGTCAATTAAATAAATCCCGGCAGATGTATCGCGTGTCTTGCTAAGAATAATTAAGACGACTATCGAGCCAGGGTTGGCAGCATTGACTTGCGGTTTCTAACTAGTAAGTCCCATTGTAAAATTAATGCATTGCAGACTTAGCATTTGCTAAAACAGAATTCATGATATCATAGTTTTTGCCAATACATCTTTGCTCTAAGAACCAAAAATAAACAATTGAATTTAAATTTATTAACTTACCACATACAGTACACTGTACACTACAGTGTATCCCTAAGCCATATACAATTGAAATTTCAAAAGTGGTTTTCAAAACATAAAAAGATAGTTAATTCTTCAATTGACTTACAGTTTACTTTCGTTCAGCCCTTAGCATCTTACATGTAACAAAATAACGAACAGAAGGACATATTTGTTGTGCAGCCGCGGGTCAAGGAGAGTGGCGGCGCCGAGCCCGCCTTTGTAACATCCGACACACGCTTTTTTGTTCCGCTGATAGATATACGACGGAAAGTGGCAACGACTTGTTTGTACTAATTAAAACCATCCTTTGTACTCATACAACTCTCCTAATAGTAAACGACAAATGAACTGCTACGATATTATCAAACAAACGTTTAACAATATAACGGTTATTCCCTTTGATCGATTTATAATAAAGTTTTAAAATAAATAAGCAAAGAAAAAATACGGTGCATTCTTAAGAAAAATAATAACACATTTAGTACATAAGCAATTTATTCAAGATACGCTACTTCATCCGAAGAAGGATTTTTAATCAATGTTGTCCCATATTGGGACCTGTATAGTCTTGTCTAGTTGCTAGTACTATGGGCAAATTGTCTTTTTAGTGATAATGACAGCTTCCTAATGTGAGTCAATAAATGATTCATTACCGTGCTTTGGGTCACTGACAACAAATGCGTAATCCGATTGATATCTGAGTCATTTGAAAGCGGTCCGCATCGATTGCCGTTACGTTAGGTAAATACAAAACCAGACGGTAAACGACGGTAATGCAGACATTGAACGAAAAAAATAAATATAAAATATATAAGGTAATTAAAATAGTATAATTATAAGTGTATTGTAGCAAACGATACTCTTATTTACCATTAAATTTTAACGTTATCACATTATATACAGTAGGACCTGGATAAGCTAAAGTCCAAGGGAAACACAAAATATTTTTAGTTATAGAAGTTTTAAGTTATCAAGGGTCTATGTTGTAGAGGTTTTGGGCTCTGGTGGGAAGCGAGCATATTATTTTTTGAAGATTTATAGAGGTTTTTATGTTACATAGGTTTGAGTTATCAAGGTTCTACTGTATTTAGAAATTTTTGAAATTCCTACAAAAAAAATAACAAGCTATAATTATTCACATATCCGAACTTTATGATACATTTTGCGCCATTTTCATTTTATTATCCTTTTATGGTTTTATTTGAATATGCTTAGTATATTTGTTTATGTTTTATGTAGCTATTATTTTTCTTTGTGCCTATATTTACCTAACAACTTGGTGTAATTGCAAATGCACATAAACTTCCTAAAATGAAATTAAAGGTACAAAAGAGTAATATTTCCTCAAGACGGAAATGGCACGTTCTATTTTTAAGAAACTCTAATTCCGCATTTGCTATGAAACAACAACAATGCAAGCGATTCTCGACTTTATCGCCTTCGTAATCTGTATTCGGAATAGTCGATATTTGGGTTTCCGGTGAGAAAAGTTGTATGCAGCTCGCATCAGACGAAATACGTTCATTAGGAGTTATTTCGATTCGTGGCTGCGGCGATGATGCAGAACGCCGTAGCTTATGGGGTTTAGTAAACACGTGATAATGGTTAGAAATCGTAAACTAATTAGGTCCACACAATGTATACAAGAAAGATAATTAGGAGCAAGTAAATATTTTATAAAAACTAAAGACGCTTAAAAATAATCAACGCATTCTTAAATCTATAAATGTGGAATAGGCGAGTTATACCAAGAGCAAGGCAAATAGAAGCCCGTTGTCGTGTTATGCTCTTTTAAAAATAGCTCTCAGTAAAATTAAAAACATTCCAATTATAAAACCAAGAAAATAAGAGATAAAAATACTTCTTTCTTTTCTTTTTAAATCATGTAAACATGACACATATAATTATTACCATACACGGGTTATTCACCGTGGAGAAGTAATTATGATTGATCCTTAGCCAAGCGATTATGCACTTTAAGTTTTAAAAAATTAAATATTATTTACTGGACCGAAAAATATTTTTATATTAATGCAGTGGTAATAATAAAACAATTTAAGTGTTTGCAATTTGACATTAATAAAAAAATCCTTGTTCGTCTCAGAAAAAAAAACAAAAAAGCTTGAACGCCGATCTTACAAAATCAAATGATTTATTAGTAAGGAACTGCAATCGCTATTCGCAAATTTTATTTACCTCGAACTTCGCCATAACAATTTCCAAGACCGCATCCGCTGGGTTTATTTCGAGTATTGTTTATAACGGACAGATAGGGCATAGTGTAATCAAAACTGAGTAACGAATGGATATTCTGGATTAAAAACTAACCAGACGACTTTAATCAAATTAGGACAAGGTTCAAACTATACAAACAAAAATATGCTGTACATTATTTTAACAATCTAATATAATATACCTTGGACACGCAAATTCCAACCGCTGTACCCATGAAGTGGGCGTACTCTAAAACCATTGGTCACGATATATAAAGTCCGATACACACTATCCACATTTCACTAAATTAGTACAGCGCGTGTCTCTGTGAGCAGCTACCCTATACAACTGACAGGATCGATACAATGGTATATTTGAGCCATTGCAAGTACGGGGTTAGTCTTCAAGGACGTTGACTGGGAGCAGATGTTCTGCGCCAATGGGGAAGGTGTATCAAGGTTCAACAACAACTTACACATGTTTACGCAAAACTTTAATTAAAAACAATCATTCCACGTTGGAGAACACATCCATATTATTTAGACTTCAAAATTAAAAAATAATGAACACTGTGAAAACATATAATTTAATAGAAACTTTAATAACGATATTTTTGTGACGTAACGATATAGATTCTACCGAATTGAAGATTTTCGTAAGTCTAATTTTTCTATATACTTATTTTACGCACTATCGCGGGGTCTTATTAAAGCTGCTTCGCAAACCGGCTGCAAGTTCAATGGACATAAAGAGAATCGCAAAAACAAAGGGCCGCAGGAAAAGGTGTGTATATCGAATGAGCCGGCTGGTCGATTCGACTGCTTTTCTATTATTCAAGAGCATGTTTTTTTTTTATCTTTTTGTACACAACAAATAATGTACGCGTATCCATTGTATAATAAAAAAACGAATATTGGTTTTACATAACTTAAACAACGGTATTCAGTTCAGTGTCTCCATTAAGGTTTTTATTTATTTATTCGTTTAATGCTTTTTTCACAAATATTACAATTAATTTACTAAAACTAAGGTACTACAAGATTTGCGCAATCAGCAATCTCTTACAGGCAACCCATTGGGTTTTGTTACAAAATTGACTTTACGAAAGTAAAAAACAAACAAAGAAATAACTGAATTTGAGAGCAATGATCTTTTATCTATGTTGAATTTTTAGCTTAGGATAACGATAACATTTGTTACCATGTAATATTTACCCAAAACTTAAACATTTACATATGTGTAAAGTCTAATTTACTAAATTGATTACGTGAAAATGTACCCATTCAAGCACCCCTACATATTTTTTATCATCTGTAAGTGGTCATTCCAGTATGAAATCAGCCTCTTGTTTAATTGCAATTTACTATTTACGATACAAACTTCTGGTAAAGGATGTAACTCACCTCGTGGTCCCTATAGAATGGTTCCTGCAGGTTCTCCGGCACCCTGTTGTTGAAGGCCTTGGACAGCAGCCATTTAATCGACGCCCTCTGCTTCGACTGAAACAATAAAATAAATTCAACACTTTTAATAGCACTAAACATTTAATTACAAGTTAAACACAATGTTTGTAAAAGTAAGCAGGTAAGTAAGAACTCAAGACATAAAAATTCACACGTCCATATTCTAATCTGTGTAATAATGAAGCTAACCTAAGTAAAATCCATAATACTAAGAATTATATCCTAATATTAATAATAACTTCGCTATTCAGTAAACTATTTTCTAACATAAACTTTAACATTGTCGGTTCGCTAACAATGTATAACAAGTCATTCAATTCTGCGAGCACTAAACTTTACCACATTGTGCAAGTAAATGTATAGGAATTTACGATAAGAATGCTTGTGGCACAGTGGGGCACGCGACGCACGTGCGTAGACAGTCAGTCTATAGTCTATTGTACAGCTGCTATGGTATAAACACGACTAGATTACGCACTTTAGTACTGCAACTTCATTATTGTAGTTTACTTTATTGTAGTTTATTTCTGTGTGTTTCAAATATTTCCTTACAGTAGACTATCAATTCCATAGCGAAAACTGTCAGAAATAGCAATGATTTGCAATAAATGCATCGACAAAAGCAGATCCACGGACACTAAGAGAAAGCATTAGTGCAAATTTATTGTGTGAAGTCTTCAATAAGGGCAGTAAGATTAGTTGCGTTTTAAACAACATGTCTAGTTACAGTTGCACCTGCTTGTACAGCAGATGTGGCATATAGAAACTTTTAACGATCTGTTACCGATAACAGTAACACAAACAACAGAGGAATGGCTATTGACACAAGCCTGCGACCTGACGTCGCTCGACAATTATACTGAATTGGCGATATGGCCACGTCCGCTCATTGTTCACGCATTCATCTGCAAACTAAACTACATCCTAATACGGCTTATAAGATGCATTATATACAATCAACAGCGTAAGAAAACAGTCGTATTTACTGAGAAATATCTCTTATATGAGAAAGTATCCCAACATGTTACAAATAACCACAGCTAATTTTATCTACTGTAACAGGTGCTCAGCTTCGTTGTGTTATTGCTTTTCTATTTTTGGTATTTGAAAACATATTAGTAAATTAATATTGTTACTACGAAATATTGAGTAGAGAAATATTGAGGCCTAATTTAAGTCCCTTTCTCTTTACCACTCTTTTCTTATAAAGAGAGGATGGGAAGGGAAAGTGGATTTGACGGTGAGGAGGTGCATAGGAAGAGGAAATATCCTCTTTATGTGCGTCTCCTCCTCCGTCGGATAAGGGTAGGCAACGCATCTGCAATTGCGGATGTCTATGGGCAGCGGTCGCATCGCCATTTTGGCAGCTTGCTCGTTTGCCACTTTATGATATAAAAAAAATTGAGTATTTTGTTTATAAGCTTACCAAATAAATTATGAGAGATGAATAGAAAATTGTACATGGGGTTGCGGCATTGAAAACAATTGATCTCTTTTTTATGGACATAACCAATGTAGTTTCTATACCCATGATATACTCTGTTTAATACGAAGAAATCATAGTAGTGCTAGTCTAGGCTAGGACACGAGGCGATACTCTGTGATTACGAGCGAGAACAATACGTCATGTCGCCCGCATCGACATTGTACTCGTCTTCAATTGGCAATAATCAATATTGGTCCATTAAGATTGGTATCCATAAAGAACTGGAAAGATTGTTTTTTTTCTGCAATAATAAATAAGGCTTTATAATAAATGAACAATTATATACCATGACTGTAACATGATTAGATAGCGTAAAGAATTCAAAGAAGCCAAAGAATGTAGATTGTATTTACAGATATTTTATTTACGTTGTTATCGGAATTTTGAAAGGCTTCATAATTATCTAGATTTATTTCCATTTATTTTTTGTAGAATAAATATTTACACATGAGGTTTTAAGTTGCAATTAAATTTATACGTCCATGATAAAAAGAGTAGCCGGATAGTTAATACTAGTTAAAGTACAGTTTTTCCTAGAACGGTTAAAGCCTAAGTGTTACGATAACTGTGTCTGGTTCGTGTAAACGCAGATATATTACAGACAAGTCAGCTATAAACGAAAGTCCATCACACAAATGTCTGGACATATGTTACATATTGACAAATTCTTTTAGCTCTAAAATGTCTCCATGTTTAATCTGCATTATTCTTATATATTAAATATTCTTAATTCTAAATATTTCCTGCATAAACAAGCTACTATTATAAACGGAATATCAATGTACTATGCTACCGGACGATTTATAAGGCAAAAAGGTCGCCCGCGTGCCGTCGCATGCCATCGACTATAAATAGGCCGTCTGCTGCGGAGACACTGCCGAATACGAACCCACCGACCACACATCATAATAATAAACTGTCAATGTACGATCTATGACTTCAGATACCTTAAATTTACAATTGCATTCCAATAGTCCACAGCTAAAACTTGAAAAAAAAGGCAATTATTGGTTGCAAAATTCCCTATAACGGCCCCACACATTAAATACTGGCAATTTCTCTCAAACGTTTAGTTGCAGGTATGCTTTTTCTTTTTTTTTATAAAACCAAATACGTTATTGAACCAACCAAGCCAGTTGGCATGCAAACCTATGACCTCCAACACGATAACCTCAGCAATCGGCGACTTATTTCAACGAAGCAATTCGATTCACTAACGGCACTAGACGTGCGAGTGTAATCAATGAAAACGCAAACATAAACAATAAACATAGGTGCAAACACGCATCAATGAATAGGCGATTAGTGTTTTAGAATGTTAAATTTTTCGCTTGATCAAGCAAAAAAACTTACGCACAATATAAACACTACTGAGTTACACTTGTTTAATTTTATACAGTGTTGTTGAATAACATTACACAGGATGATATAAATTCCAATGTTACGTTTCATTTTAATTTGAAAAAATATACACCGTTCAACATAAACGAGGATTGAAAAAGGATCTCTTGTACTACGCTTAAGGCGTACCTAAGCAAAGTGTCGTCTCCTGTAGAGAATGGTGTCTAGAGAGATGCTTGAATAGGCTTCTCAAACCTTTATTCATCCTTCAAGAGACACGTGAATAGGCACCTTTAGGTCAGTACGTTTTCTTGCTACGTTGGTAAAAGACATTAAATGAATAGTAGAAACAATACCTCAGTGATAGATGAAGACATGAAAAAGATTTTTCTGCCACAATGATAGACTTCTGAGATACCTTTCATTCTGTCTGTTAATATTGTAGCACTTCAGATTACTTTAATAAATATGAAAGTTTTTATCAATTATGTACACAGAAGAAAATAATTAGATTAACATCCACAATTGCGCGCGTTAGTATCATCTGAAGCAGCCTTACATACTTTCATGCGGTATGCAGTCACAACACAGATGGCAAGTGGAGCGGCCAGGGCACTCTCTACAGAATTCGTACAGTTTAATTAGTGTACGCAATTAACGGGCCGTTCGACCGCAACATTTCACTCTCTCCCGTATGCCCATTAACACCTGAGGTGCTACCGTAAAATATAATAAATTACTTGTGGAATTCTGTGGACATCAATATAAAAAATAGGATAAGACCATCTTATCTTTTTTTTATTTAAAAAAAAACTTGGCGATTTTTCATAAATCAAACGACAACTGCACTATTCAATACACTGTGACTGCAAATAACAAAAGTAATACAGTGCACTGACCTAACAAAAGGCGGTGTGCGGTCGAGATGGTATCTGATACCTTTGCAAAGTAACCCCGTAAATTCTCGGGCGCCGGTGATTCAACGTGCTGCATTGCGTCCAGCGAGACGGGACACGAATTAATGGAGCCGTAGTTTCCGTATAGAGCAACTCGAAGGATATTCATGCAATTTTACTACAGCAATTACTAAGTTTAGTACGACTTTAAGGAATTAAATGGCAGTTAGTACAAGTTTAATTTAACAAAGGACATCTGACCAACTATGACGACCACTGTGGAGAATTTCAGTAAACTAAATAACTGAACTCAAACCAATTTATTTCACATATGAGAAAAAAACATTCAAGCTACTTTGTAGTCCATAAAGAAAGGTAACGCAACTTCCTATAGCTCTATTCAGAAGGTCGACGGTCAGCAACTAAGTTGTAGGGCCGTCGGCGATAACAGACGGTAAGAGGCGATTACGAACAGTACCAGGCGATTACAGGCATCGGTGAGGCTCGACGGTGGCCCGTTAGCACCTGCCCACGCTGCGAGGTCAAGCCCACGCGAACACCCACATCATTGCTTTTAAATCGAAATACGAATTAAACATACTTCCAATGACTCGTCTTTAAGTTTAATTTCTCAGAATTACTTTAAGTCATTAGCTTTTTTCTTTTGGACCTCGTTATAATAGAAAGGCTATAATGAATACCGATGCTTTCTTGTTTAGGAGCACTTTTGTCATAAAACACTATATTAATTTGCATGTATGTAATTTATCGTCACTTGAATTTGACGTTAACTTGTCTTTAGGTTTACTTGGATTCAATATTTATAGCCTAGTCTCCAAATCTCAGTAACCATATGCAAAACAAATTATGGAATCAATGTTGATGAAACATAACGATGAAATTTAAGACCAAACAAAGATAGAAAAGGTTTAAAAAACTAGAACTCCTAATTCGCAGAATAGAAGTGTAATAATAGTCAATCCGATAACTGTAAATGATTATCTAGTAGCTATCTAGCACTAAGATGGCTCACTCGGGTACTGTTATTATGCAGCAATAACAAAGATAGCAGTTACAATTTCAAACTGTACTAACAAAATATTACATTAACCAATACTGTAAGATACAAAAGATTGAATATCTATATCAAACTATTTGATACATTGAAACGAAATCTAGAAAAGATTTATTCAATAAAATACGTAATTAATAAGAAAAAATGTTTACTTTCTCGGTATGGAAGCAAACACTTTTAACTCTCAGCAAAATCAGACACGCAAAGACGTGGTCCGGTGCGCGCTCGAGAGAATTAA